CCCAAACTACTGAATCTCATTCCCAGAGCTTTTGATTTCAGCCTGGAGTTAGGCCCAAGTAGTTACACGGCAAACAAGTTCCATGTGATGTGATACTACTGGCCAGGGGGCCACATTTTGACTGGCGTAGTCTCTGGGACCTCACCCAAGAAACTAGAATTTGTAAAAAGCAAAGCTCTGACAAAAGCCCTGCTGGTTTTTTTGGTATGGAAGCTGTTTCTCTTAGGAGACAGGTTGGAAGAGGTCTGGGAGGTGGCACTAAGGTGACAGTGATGGTGACCTCAGGGAGGAGGTTGGATTTAGGGGCTCCAGGGAGGTATGGGGGGACTGGATGGCAGAAGGAAGTGTTTAAGGAGGCGTGACTCGGCATCACATTAAGCTCTGCAGCTCCTCAGCTGTGTGACCTTGGGTGGGTGACTTTACCTCTCTGGGCTTCAGTTTCCTTATCTATAAATGGGCATCAGAGGATACCATCTCCTAGGGGTTATTGTGAGGATTAAATGAGTTTCTTTTGACACATAATAAATGCCAGTTTGTATGATTACATGAAAGCTATGAATTTCTTACAAGGAAAATAGAAAATGTTTCCACTGCTTAATTAAAAATAAACATAGGGGGCCGGGCGCGGTGGCTCATGCCTATAATTCCAGCACTTTGGGTGGCCGAGATGGGTGGATCACGAGGTCAAGAGATCGAGACCATGCTGGTCAATGTGGTGAAACCCCATCTCTACTAAAAATACAAAAATATTAGCTGGGCATGGTGGCCTGTGCCTGTAATTCCAGCTACTCAGGAGGCTGAGGCAGGAGAATTGCCTGAACCTAGGAGGCGGAGGTTGCGGTGAGCCGAGATCGTGCCATTGCACTCCAGCCTGGGTAACGAGAGCGAAACTCCGTCTCAAATAAATAAATAAATAAATAAATAAATAAATGTAGGGGTCTAGCACAGTGGCTTATGCCTGTAATCCTAACACTTTGGGAGGCTGAGGCAGGAGGATCATTTGAGGCCAGGAGTTTGAGACCAGCCTGGCCAACATGGTGAAAACCCGTCTTTACTAAAAATACAAAAATTAGCCAGGGGTGGTGGTATGTGCCTGTAATCCCAGCTACTTGGGAGGCTGAGGCAGGAGAATCACTTGAACCCAGGAGGTGGACATTGCAGTAAGCCAAGATTGTGCCATTGCACTCCAGCCTAGGTGACAGAGCAAGACCGTATCTCAATAAATAAATAAATAGGCCAGGCGCAGTGGCTCACGCCTGTAATCCCAGCACTTTGGGAGCAGAGGTGGGTGGACTACCTGAGGTCAAGAGTTCAAGACCAGCCTAACCAACGTGTAGAAACCCTGTCTCTACTAAAAATATAAAATTAGCTGGGCATGGTGGCGCATGCCAGTACTCCCGGCTACTTGGGAGGCTGAGGCAGGAGAATCATTTGAACCCGGGAGGCGGAGGTTGTGGTGAGCCAAGATCACGCCATTATACTCCAGCCTGAGTTACAAGAATGAAACTCCATCTCAAGTAAATAAATAAATAAAGGCCAGGCACAGTGGCTCACATCTGTAATCCCAGTGCTTTGAGAGGCTGAGGCAGGAGGATAGCTTGAGCCCAGGAGTTGGAGACCAGCCTGAACAACATAGCAAGACTTCGTATCTAAAAGGAAAAAAAAAAATTAGCTGAGTGTGGTGACATGACCCTGTAGTCCTAGCTTCTTGGGAGGCTGAGGCAGGAGGATTGCTTGAGGCCAGGAGTTAGAGGCTGCAGTGAGCTATGATCGTGCCACTGCGCTCCAGCCTGAGAGACTTTGTCTCTAAAAATAAATGAATAAATCAATATATCATTTAAAAATACATAAATAAACAGGAAAGGGTGGACTTTTTACTAAGTTCTGGGAGTCTAATTCCATTTCTTCCACTACAAGGAAGAGCAGAAATTAGGGAGACAGACAGGAGATGCCTCCTCCTCCCCAGTGCCTAGACACCCCCCAGAAAATATCTCAAGTCTACACCCCTCTATTTGCAAGTCTGGCCTCATTCCTTCCAGTTGCAAAAGGATGAATCGTTACAAGATTTCGAAGGTCCTTGGCCTGAGTCTGGCTCCCTGCCTCCCCTCCATGCCTCTCATCCTTTCTTTGTAGGCTTAATTAAGTGTGTGGTTAGGATCCCTGGAGACCCCTTTGCCCAAATTTCCCTGACTTTGTTTTCCTCACATGCCCCTCTCAGTGTCCATTTAGCTCTATTAGGAAGTCCTTCTGCGAGTCTACCTTAAGTCCTTCTTGCTGAAAAGAGCCTTTCTCCTTCTTGAGAGCAAACAGGACCCTTCCCTCACCCAGGATTCCTGCCTCTCTTCTCTGCAACACCCCTGATCTTTACCTGGTATTCCCATCATTCCTATTAGAAAGTAATCAAGTCTGGTTTCAGTCTTTCTTGCCTTGAAGGAAGTGTATTTCTGGCAGGGGTGGGGGTGGGGCGGTAAGTCATAAGACAAGGGCTGGGGGATCAGAGGAAGCCCTCACCCGCTCTTCAGAGGGACCCAGGAACCCCCAGCACTAGAGAAGTTTATATTTAGCGCTTCTCTGCTCCTCCTCCCCTCCCCCCCCCGCCTGCCACCGCCTCCTCCCTGATGCTGGGACAAGCTTTGCCTAGAGACTGGGGGGTGGGGGGGACAGGCCTCTCCACTACCATCTCAAGCCGGAGGACAGAGGGCTGCGGGGAGGAAGGGACAGAGAGACTGAGGAGAGGGAGACTGAAGGGCAGAGATGGGGAAGGTGAAGGGCGAGAAGGGGAGAGACGGAGGGCAGAGGGGAGAGGACACAGCTACCCTACCCTCTTGCCTCGCCTTCTCCTTGTCAGGATGGAAGGCGCCTTCCAAGCCCAGCCAGCTTGGGGTGGGGGGAGCTCGCGAAGGCCCCCACCATCCGTCTCTAACTTTGGGAGGGGGTGGGGCCTCCCACAGCTGTTTCTGTTTCCAGAAAAGAATGTGCAGGGCGGGGGGGGGGGGTCCCACTCCTGAGAGGGGGAGGGGCCGGGCGTGCAGCCCCGGGAGTCTGGCTTCAGTCTTTCTCCCCAGTCCCCATCTGGGGAGGGGGCAGTCGAGGTCAGCGGCGGGGAGAGCCCCCGCCACCGCCACCTCGGCTCAGGTTTCCCGAAACGGGAAGCTCTGGCCACACACAGGCTTAGGGATGGGGATGTGCCGCGGAGCCAGGGCGTGCGGGCTGGGGGGAGGGGAAGAGAGACCGAGCCTGGGACGTCGGGCAAGAAGAGAGCGAGGTGCAGACAGGCAGGAAGGGAAGGCCAGGGAGACAGATGCAGAGGGACACAGAGACACAGAGATCTCAGACAGGATGGAGACAGAGAAGCAGACACAGAAAGTCACCGGGATGTGGCAGGACCGAGAGAGGGAGAGAACCCCAGGACGAGCTCGGGAGACTCAAGGAATGACACAGAAAGGGGAGAGGAATGGAGCCTCCGCGAGTCATTCCGGAGACCTATGCCCATCTTCCACCATGAGAACACCCCGAGTCCAGAAGTATCTTCCAGGTGCTGCCTCGACCTGCCTCCCCTTGGGTCAAGGAGAGCCGGGGCCGCGTAGGAAGCAGGGGAAGTGTCACCGAAGGGTCAAGATCCCAGTGGGGGGTCCTCAGGGAGTGTGAGCTTCCTCTCAGCAGTGGTCCCTCCCTCCGGAGGCCCTGAGATCCCCTCCTCCCACCCCGCCCCCTCCAGAGATCTCCAAGCACACCAGGACTTAGGGAAGATGGAGCCCTGGGAGCGGGGCCCAGAGAAGGGCATGTTTGGAGCCTGGCTGTGTGACCTTGGGTGAGTCGCTTGCTCTCTCTGAGCCTCAATGTCTCTCTCTGTTAAATGGGGGACTATCACCCCCTGTTTCAAGAAGACAACGCCTGCAAAGTACCCGGACCCAGGTTTGACACCTACTTGGCGCCCAGAAGGATTTTCTTTGGGAAAGGGGTGTAAGGGATGGGGCCCGTGTTTCTCACGAGGCCCCAGTGGGGACGATGCGGTTTCCCCCTCCCCCGATTTGGGGGCGGGGAAGCCAGGTCTGGTCCGCCGCCGGATCTCCGGGGTCTGCAGCCCCACCCCCTGTCCTCCTCACTCCCTGCCTACCCGGGTCCCCAACCCCCCCGGGTGTCTGAGCATCCAGCCGAGACAGACAGACACAGACGGGGGTGGAGGGACGGATGGACAGGCGGCCCCTTACCAGCTGCTCCTCCAGGGCCGCTGCGGCCCGGCGCGCCGCCGCCGCATCTTCATCCTCATCGGCGTCCTCCTCGTCCTCGGCCTCGGCGCCCCCCATTCCGGGCTGGGCCAGCCGCAGCGCCTGCTGCACGCGGTACTCCTGCCTCTCCCGGAGCCAGTGCAACTCGCAGAGCCCGGCCAGGCTACCCTCCAGCCAGCCCCGCAGCCGGCCCCGTTCGGGGCTCACCGGGAACGAGAAGGCCCGGATCATGGCTGCGGCCCCCCGCCCCAGCCCGGCCGGGCCCCGCGGCCACCCCTCTCCCGGTCCCACCTCCCCGCCCCAGCAGCCTGCCCGCCCGCCCGCTGGCCGGGCTGTCACCGTCTCATCTGCATAGGCGCCCGCCCATTGGGCCGCCCACCCGCGCCTTATCTGCATGGCCACGCCCCCGGCGACCGAGCAACAGCCGCCTATTGGTGGATACCCTCCTTGACGAAGATGCTCGGCCGTGCACCCGCGCCGCCCTACACGACGCATGCTCACAGCTGCCTACTCACTCCTCTTGCCACGCCCCCTCCTTGCAACTGCCTTTGGGCCCCGGTCACGCCCCCCCACGCGTCACAATGAAACAAGCCCGCCCTTGCTTCAATGCCATTGGTCTGTGCCTGGCCGGTCTTGCAGCAGGTTCCACCCTCTTGCGGGCGAGCTCTGGCTACCATTGGACTGTCCGGCACGAGGGGAAGGGTGATCTATAAATAGGGAATAGGTCCACGTGACAGTTTGGCAGCCGCTCTTACCCCTTCACCCCGCGCAGCCGTCAGCTTCTGAGGCTGCGCAGCGGGAGAAAAGGGTTAGACTAACCGTTAGAGGGTCGAGCACTGACTTCGCCTCCTCTTCCGAGAAGCCTTCCCAGACACTCAGCCGTAAAACGAGACGTACGTCCTCCGATAAAATTTTGTTTCTGCTTAGGGCTGGCTTCACCAGCTTGGAATCCGCTTAGAAAGGTCTTTGTGCTTGGTTGAATGTTCTGCAGTTGCTGTCTTGAAATTCTTAGTTTTTGAGCAAGAGTCCCCTTGTTTTCACTTTGCACTAGGCCAAATATGTAGCCGGCCTTGCTGCTAAAAGTCTAAGGTCGATTGCATTCCAAATTCTGGAATTATAAGACCCTGGGTGGAAGATTCTGGGTTTTGACCAGAAGAGAGTGTGAGCGGCTTTTGTCTCCCAGGTGCTGTGAGTTTATATGCTCATCATTCTTCCGTTCCAGGGGCCTTTGTTCTACGTTCTAAGGGGCTTTGTTCTCAGCCTTCTATGATGCTCTATGCTCAGCGTTCTCTGGTCCTAGGAGTCTGGGCCTGACATTCGTTTCCAAGGCTTTCTGCTGCGTCCCCAGGCTCCGCGAGCAGGGCTGGGGCACCCTCAGGCGGCCAACCAGTGTCACTACGCCGAGGGTGCCTCTACCAACTTCCAAAACCTAGCTCTAATATTCATGCCCATTTCTCAGACAGACTTTGGCTCCCTAAAAGCCAAGACCCAGAAGATCATATGGGAAATTCCCTCTTTTATGATTCCCCGTGCACGAAGCGACCTTCTTCTGGTGGTGAGATGGAGAGAAAATTATAGTGCCTATAGACAGCAAAGTCTCCTGGAGCCAGACTTCCTCAGGGTGAGTCACAGATCTGCCACTTTCCAGATGAACTTGGAAACTTACTTAACCTCTCTGTGCTATCGTTTCTTCATCTGATACGGGATCATAATACTGGCTGCCTCATAGAGTTTTCCTGAGGATTAAATGAAATGTATGTTGTACTTGCAGTGTTTTCTGTGGATCAAGAGCCACAGAAGGGTTTGATAAATACGTTTTAAAATAATCTAGAAAGTTTATTTTAAAATAACTTTTAAAATATTTTCCCCCTGCCGGGAGAGGCAGGGGGGAAAAAGTCTTGAAATTTAGTAGAGACAACCTTTGTTCAGTCTTCCTCTTGTTCAGAATAGACAGAAAATTAGTTGGGTGTGGTGGTGCTCGCCTGTAGCCCCAGCTACTTGGGAGGCTGAGACAAAGGATCACTCGAGCCTGGGAGGGCAGAGGTTGCAGTGAGCCATGATCACGCCACTGCAGTCTAGCCTGGGCAACAACAAGATCTTGTCTCAAAAAAAAAAAAAAAAGTGGGGGTCTATGCACAGTGGCTCATGCCTGTAATCCCAGCACTTTGGGAGGCTGAGGCAGATGGATCACCTGCGATCAGGAGTTCGAGGCCAGCCTTGGCAACATGGTGAAACCCCGTCTCTACTAAAAATACAAAAAGTAGCCAGGCATGCTGGTGCGCACCCATAATCCCAGCTTCTGGGGAGGCTGAGGCAAGAGAATTGCTTGAACCCAGGAGGTGGAGGTTGCAGTGAGCCAAGATCGTGCCACTACACTTCAGCCTGGGAGACAGAGCCAGAATCTGTCTCAAAAGAAAGTGGGGTGGTGCTTTTAGACTGCCCTAATTTTCCAACAATAGGGAGACAGTGAAGGATTGATAAGTGTCTGGGACGACATCAGTATTCGTTTTCCATCCCTGTTGTATGTATAAGATTAGTTGAACCATTTGCTTAGAACAATGTTGAATCTGGAGTTGATTTAGGGTTCTGGTCACCGGGCATTTGAAGATGGATATTCCTAGGAAGATAAGTAGAAAGAGAATAAGAGAATAAAATGAAGGTGGGTGCAAGGCCAGAGAGCAGCAGGTGGGAGGATTCCAAGAAGGAGGTGAAGAGACATCCTTGGTGGGTGGAGTCCAAAGAGCTGTAGCAATTCTGAAGATTTCCTTTTTGACTTCTTTTTTTTTTTTTTTTTTTTTTTTTTTTGAGAAGGAGTTTCGATCTTGTTACCCAGGCTGGAGTGCAATGGCGCGATCTCGGCTCACCGCAACCTCCGCCTTCTGGGTTCAGGCAATTCTCCTGCCTCAGCCTCCTGAGTAGCTGGGATTACAGGCACGCGCCACCACGCCCAGCTAGTTTTTTGTATTTTTAGTAGAGACGGGGTTTCACTATGTTGACCAGGATGGTCTCGAACTCTCGACCTTGCGATCCACCCACCTCGGCCTCCCAAAGTGCTGGGATTACAGGCTTGAGCCACCGCGCCCGGCTAATTTTTTGTATTTTTAGTAGAGACGGGGTTTCACCATGTTGACCAGGATGGTCTCGATCTCTTGACCTAATGATCCACCCTCCTCGGCCTCTCAAAGTGCTGGAATTACAGGGTTGAGCCACCGCGCCCAGCCCCTTTTTGACTTCTTGATGTTTTTATTAGTGGTGATGCCAAAAGATTTCTGGAGAATCAGCCAGGCACGGTGGTTGACGTCTGTAATCCCAGCACTTTGGGAGGGGGAGGCGAGCAGATCACCTAAGGTCAGGAGTTCAAGACCAGCCTGTCCAACATGGCGAGACCCCATCTCTACTAAAAGTACAAAAATTAGCCAGGCATGATGGCACACACCTGTAATCCCAGCTACTTAGGAGGCTGAGTCAGGAAAATTGCTTGAACCTGAGAGGCGGAGGTTGCAGTGAGCTGAGATGGTGCCACTGCTCTCTAACCTGGGCAACAGAGGGAGACTGTGTCTCAAAAAAACAAAAAGAGAGAAAGAGAGAATGCAAATGAAAGGCAAAAGTCACTGGGCGTGGTGGCTCACGCCTATAATCCCAGCACTTTGGGAGGCTGAGGTGGGTGGATCACCTGGGGTCAGGAGTTCAAGACCAGCCTGGTCAACCTGGTGAAACCCCATCTCTACTAAAAATACAAATTAGCTGGGCATGGTGACGCATGCTTGTAATCCCAGCTACTCAGGAGGCTGAGGCAGGAGAATTGCTTGAACCTAGGAGGCAGAGGTTGCAGTGAGTCAAGACCGTGCCATTGCACTCCAGCCTGGGCAACAAGAGTGAGACTCCTCTATTTCAAAAAAAAAAAAAAGTGTAGGGTCCATTCCATCTGAGTTCAAGATGAGTCTTCCTGCAATGTCTTTTCCAGAGGATGAAATTCCCTGTTTGGAGAGTATGAGGAGGCTGTGATGGAATATCTGGAAGGCAGGCAGCTTGCACCTGTTAGTGACAAGCCTGAGTCTACTTAGTCCTTGATCATATGTGAGAAAGTCTGATTATAGTAGAGTCCTCAAGGGCCCAGTAGGAGTCAAATCTTCGTGAGTCTTTGATTATTTCATAAGAAGATTGTTGATGTGTGCTCTGGTTGGGAGAGTAATGGCCCCCCAGAGATGTCTTCATGTTTATCCCTGGAACCTGTGACTATAGTACCTTTTATGGACAAAAAGAGCTTCTTGTGATTAAGAATCTTGAGATAGGGAGATTTATCTTGGATTATCCTGGTGGATCTAGCATAAACACGAGCCTCCTTATAAGATGGAGCCAGTAACATTAGAATCAGAAAAATATGTAAATACAGAATTAGAGGCCGGGCCAGGCACAGTGGCTCACACCTGTAATTCCAAAGCTTTGGGAGGCTGAAGTGGGAGGATTGCTTGAGACCAGGACTTTTAGACCAGCCTGGGTAACATGGTGAGACCACGTCTCTACAAAAAATAAATAAATCAATAAAATAGCCAGGCATGATGGAGCACATCTGTGGCCCCACTAATTTAGGAGGAGGATCAGGAGCCCACGAATCTGATGCTGCGGTGAGCTGTGATTGTGCCAGTGCAATCCAGCCTGGGCCACGGAACAAGACCCTGTCTCAAAAAATAAAATCTCTATTGGTTTTTTTTCGCCCATTTCTAAGCCAATAAATCTCTCTTTTTTTTTTTGAGATGGAGTTTCGCTCTTGTTACCCAGGCTGGAGTGCAATGGCGCGATCTCGGCTCACCGCAACCTCCGCCTCCTGGGTTCAGGCAATTCTCCTGCCTCAGCCTCCTGAGTAGCTGGGATTACAGGCACGAGCCACCATGCCCAGCTAATTTTTTTTTTTTTTTTTTTTTTTGTATTTTTAGTAGAGATGGGGTTTCACCATGTTGACCAGGATGGTTTTTTTTTTTTTTTTTTTTTTTTTTTTTTTTTTTTTTTTTGAGACGGAGTTTCGCTCTTGTTACCCAGGCTGGAGTGCAATGGCGCGATCTCGGCTCACCGCAACCTCCGCCTCCTGGGTTCGGGCAATTCTCCTGCCTCAGCCTCCTGAGCAGCTGGGACTACAGGCACGTGCCACCATGCCCAGCTAATGTTTTGTATTTTTTTTTAGTAGAGACGGGGTTTCACCATGTTGACCAGGATGGTCTCGATCTCTTGACCTCGTGATCCACCCGCCTCAGCCTCCCAAAGTGCTGCGATTACAGGCTTGAGCCACCGCGCCCGGCTGACCAGGATGGTCTTGATCTCTCGACCTCGTGATCCACCCGCCTCGGCCTCCCAAAGTGCTGGGATTACAGGCTTGAGCCACCGCGCCCGGCCTTCTATTTTTTATATATATAAAAATATGGAACGCTTCATGAATTTTCGTGTCATCTCTGCACAGGAGCCATGCTAATCTTCTCTGTATCGTTCCAGTTTTAGTATATGTGCTGCTGAATGGAGCACAAATCTCTATTGTTTTAAGGCACTACATTCATGGTGATTTGTTCCAGCAGGGTCTTCATTTGCTAAGGTGGCCATAACAAAGCACTACAGACATAGTTTAAATGCCAGAAATTTGTTTGTTCTGAGACAGGGTCTCGAACTGTCGCCCAGGCTGGAGTGCAGTAGCACAATATTGGCTCACTGCACCCTCCGCCTCCCAGGTTCAAGAAATTCTCTTGCCTCAGCCTCCCGAGTAGCTGAGATTACAGGTACCTGGAACCACACCTGGCTAAAGAGACAGGGTTTTATTACGTTGGTCAGGCTGGTCTTGAACTTCTGACCTCCATTGACCCCCCAAAGTGGCTCACACCTGTAATCCCAGCACTTTGAGAGGCCAAGGCGAGCAGATCATTTGAGGTCAGGAGTTTGAGATGAGCCTGGCCAACATGGTGAAACTCTGTCTGTACTAAAAATACAAAAATTAGCCAGGCGTGGTGGCGTGCACCTGTGATCCCAGCTACTCAGGAGGCTGAGGCAGGAAAATCGCCTGAACCTGGGAGGCAGAGGTTGCAGTGAGCTGTGATCATACCACTGCACTGCAGAGCGTGTGGCCCCTGTCTACAGAAACGCTGGCAGGATGCTCATTAAGGGGGTTGATGGTCATTTCCCCTTGAAGGTTAAGTAGTGCTTACAGACACAGAGGAGAGAGTTGGCTGGAAGTGAGTCACTGGGAGACTGAATCTCAGACTCAAATTCCTTTTGCACGTCAAAGCTAAATAGTGTCAAGCCCAATGACCCTTATCTTTACAGTATATACACGTGTCTATCAGATTAGGTTTTGAGGCTCTGCAGTGACCCACACCTGTAATCTCAGCACTTTGAGAGGTGGAGGCAGGAGGATCTCTTAAACCCAGATGTTCAAGACCAGCCTGGTCAACATTGTGAGATCTCATCTCTATAACAAATAAAAAACATGCCCGGGCATGGTGGCTCATGCCTGTAATTCCAGCACTTTGGGAGACCGAGGCAGGCAGATCACTTGAGGTCAGGAGTTCGAGACCAGCCTGGCCAACATGGTAAAACCCCATCTCTACTAAAAATACAAAAATTAGGCATGGTGGCTTGTGCCTGCAATCACAGCTACTCAAGGAGGCTGAGGCGGGAGGATCACTTGAGCCCAGGAGGGGGAGGCTGCAGTGACCTGTGATTATGCCACTGCACTCCAGCCTGGGCAAGAGTGAGACTCCATCTCAAAAAAAAAAAAAAAAAAAAAAAAATACATTAAAAATTAAAAACTGGCCGCGTGCGGTGGCTCAAGCTTGTAATCCCAGCACTTTGGGAGGCCGAGGCAGGTGGATCACGAGGTCGAGAGATCGAGACCATCCTGGTCAACATGGTGAAACCCCGTCTCTACTAAAAATACAAAAAATTAGCTGGGCATGGTGGCACGTGCCTGTAATCCCAGCTACTCAGGAGGCTGAGGCAGGAGAATTGCCTGAACCCAGGAGGCGGAGGTTGCGGTGAGCCGAGATCGCGCCATTGCACTCCAGCCTGGGTAACAAGAGTGAAACTCCGTCTCAAAAAAAAAAAAAAAAAAAAATTAAAAACTAAATTAAAAAACAGAGGGCCGGGCGCGGTGGCTCACGCCTGTAATCCCAGCACTTTGGGAGGCCGAGGTGGGTGGATCACGAGGTCAGGAGATCAAGACCATCCTGGTCAACATGGTGAAACCCCGTCTCTACTAAAAATACAAAAAAAATTAGCTGGGCATGGTGGCCTGTGCCTGTAATCCCAGCTACTCAGGAGGATGAGGCAGGAGAATTGCCTGAACCCAGGAGGTGGAGGTTGTGGTGAGCCGAGATCGCGCCATTGCACTCCGGCCTGGGTAACAAGAGCGAAACTCTGTCTCAAAACAAAAACAAAAACAAAAACAGAAAATTAGCCAGGTGTGGTGGCTCATGCCTGTAATCCCACCTACTCAAGAGGCTGAGGGGGAGAATGGCTTGAACCCACCCAGTAGTTTGAGGCTGTAGTGAGCTATGATCATACCACCGTACGGAAGCCTGGGTGCAGTGGACAGAGCGAGACCCTGTCTCTAACAAGCAAAGTTCGGTTTTGTGATTTCAGGGGTCCCAATAGGATAAACCTTTTGTCTCTAATGATTTAAGTGGTAGGGCCCCAAGTTTTCATTGTGTGGATTTAAATTCATCTTTTCTTCTTTTGAGATGAAGTCTCGTTCTGTTGCCCCGGCTGGAGTGCAGTGGCGCGATCTCAGCTCATCACAGCCTCCACCTCCCAGGTTCAAGGGATTCTCCTGCCTCAGCCTCCTGAGTAGCTGGGACTACACCACACCCAGCTAATTTTTGTATTTTCATTGTTTTAGCCAGGCTGGTCTCGAACTCCTGACCTTGTGATCTGCCCACCTTGTCCTCCCAAAGTGCTGGGATTTTAGGTGCGCTCGGCCTGATTTTATCTTTCATGGCATCCTCATAATGTTTTGCTATCTCGGAATTCTGTAACTGAGGAGTTTCGATGTTTTTTGTTTGTTTTTTAAGATGGGGTTTCACCATATTGGTCAGGCTGGTCTTGAACTCCCGACCTCAGATGATCCACCCGCCTTGGCCTCCAAAGTGCTTGGATTACAAGCATGAGCCACCACGCCCGGCCGAAGTTTCGATGCTTTTTAATCATGTCTCTCGTTTCTGGTCTCAGGATATTAACTAGTAGCAAGACAGAAGCAGGTCAAGGCTGATAGTCTTTTCTATACATTTTCTAGCCTGGGTCTGTCACAGGAGATGGATTCATCTCTCTGTTGCCTACACTTAGACTAAATAGAAGCATAAGCAATGGGGATGGAGTCTAAGAGACTTTCCCCAATAGTCTTAGCTTCGACTATACCTCAGAGGTATCCTGCTCATTTGAATACCTTCATTTACTCAGGCTCATTTAGCATCTTCAAATCAAAGAGCTGCAGCTCAGCCAGGTGCAGTGGCTCATGCCTGTAATCCGAGCATTTTGGGAGGCCTAGGCAGGTAGATGGCTTGAGCCCAGGAGTGTGAAACCAGCCTGGGCAACATGGTAAAACCTCCACACAAAAAAATACAAAAAATTAGCCGGGCATGGTGGCACATGCCTGTAGTCCCATCTGCTCAGGATGCTGGGGTGGGAGGATCACTGGAGTCCAGGAGGTCAAGGCTGCAGTGAGCTGTGATCACGCTACTGCACTCCGGCCTGGGCAACACAGTGAGACCCTGCCTCAAAAAAAAAAAAAAAAAAAGCTGCAGCTCTGGAACCAACCATCAGATGGACAAGTTGATACAAATCAAGTTGGAAAACCCCAGAGAGTAAGCTCTCAATATTAGCCTAACTTGGCGGCTAAAGTCTTCCGTTTTCCTGTTTTCTTAGGCTATGTTGCCCAAACTGGACTCGAACTCCTGGACTCCAGCGATCCTCCCACCTCTGCCTCTTAAGTAGCTGGGAATACAGTCACATGCCACCATGCCCAGCTTTCAGGTAGGTCTTTATTTTTCTATTTTATTTTTGTTGAGTTCAGGTGCATGCTCCGATGGTTCACCTTCAGCTATGGGTGGTAGAGGGCCATGTGTTAGGCTGTTGTTGGAGAACTGGGGAGCTGAAGGGCTGCAGTCAAAGGTAGAGGTGAATACATGTTCCCTCTGCTTTCAGTCTTTCAAGGCCAAGGTGAAGCTTAAGAGGTCACCTCTGACCGCCTACCCTCTCTGACCCCTGAGAGCTCATTCTAGGCTGCCCAGGCCTCCTAAACTCCCCCAGCCCTGCCCTTCCCATTCTGGGTCATCACTGTGTAGGGGCAGGTATGTCTCTCCACTGGATGGTGAACCCCAGGGAGTCCTCGGCTATCTCAGTCACTACTGTGTCCTCAGCATGACCCAGCTCAGTGAGACAAAGAAATGAGTGAATATATACTTCTTTATATATTCAGCATATAGAGAAGTCATCACATCAATATAAAAAATATATATATTTTTGAGACAGTCTTGCTCTTGTCACCCAGGCTGGAGTGCAATGGGTCCATCTCAGCTCACTGCAACCTCCGCCTCCTGGGTTCAGGCAATTCTCCTGCCTCAGCCTCCTGAGCAGCTGGGATCACAGGCACGCGCCACCATACCCAGCTAATTTTTTTGTATTTTTAGTAGAGACGGGGTTTCACCATGTTGACCTGGATGATCTCGATCTCTTGACCTCGTGATCCACCCGCCTCGGCCTCCCAAAGTATTGGGATTACAGGCTTTAGCCACTGCACCCGGCCGCTAATTTTTTGTATTTTTAGTAGAGACGGGTTTCACCATGTTAGCCAGGATGGTCTCGATCTCCTGACCTCGTGATCTACCCACCTCAGCCTCCCAAAGTAAAAATACTAAATGTTACATATCAGTTTTCTACTATGGATCTGACTTGGGCTAACTGCATTTTATTTACTATTTTATTTTTGAGACAGGGTCTCACTTTGTTGCCCAAGCTGGAGGGCAGTGGTGTGATCTTAGCTCACTGCAGTCTCTGCTTCCTGGGCTCAAGCAATCCTCCAGCCTCAGCCTCCCATGTAGCTGGGACCACAGGTGCAAGCCACCACACCCTGCTAGTTTTTACTTTTTGTAGAAAGGAGTTTCATCATGTTGGCCAGGCTGGTCTCAAACTCTTGAGATCTAAGGGATCTGCCTGCCTCAGTCTCCCAAAGTGCTGGGATTACAGGCTTGAGCCACTGCACCCAGCCTAAATTGTTATTAATAGTCGTGATTAGCAGGAAAAACACCACTGTATAAAAAATCAGTCATCACAAACCATTAGATTGCTTCCTTTTCTCCAAGTTCTCTACCCTCCAGTCACATTCCTTCCATCTCTCCCCTGTTCCCAACTCCTCCCTGACTCTTCCTTCTGCTCCTCGTCTTCTCTCCTGGCAATCCTCTCTATTCGCTACCCCAGCTAGTCCTCCTTCCAAGACTCCTCTCCCATCAGGCCTCTTCCCCACCCCTCCATCCTTCCTCTTTTCAGTAGTCCTCCTTCCACATGGACCCCATCTTGGTGCAACAGACTAATGAATGATTCAAGAGTACTGTGTGCTCTGGAGACCAAGGCCATGGGGCCAGAGATGAGTCCGTTTTAATTGCTGGGGAGACAGGGAGGGGCCTTAGAAATAGCTCCCTCCCCCACCCCACGTGTCTCATCCAGTTTAGGCAGGAAGCGACTTTCCCTACAACAGTTCATTGCTGGGATCTCTGAAGAGCTGCTGTGGAGGGCACAGGGCCTCAGAGGACACTGATGCGCTCTGTCAGCCCATGCATGTCGTGGTCCTGTGGTGGATAGGCCCCACCGAAATCCCTGTCCGTGGGTGGCCCGGACCCGGGCAGTGGATGCTCTGCCACAAACTGCTCCCAGCGCGCGTCGTCACTCTCGTGCGTGATGTATCGCTCGCCCATCTTCCCTTCCAGTTCTCGGAGGTCCAGCCACGTCTGGTACTCCTGGGCCCGAGAGAACTGGGGTTAGCTTGGGGTCTGCATTGGAGCAGTGCCTGGATGCCATCTGCTCTGCCACTGAGATCTGGGTACCAACGAAGGTGAAGCCACACCCTCTGCCACCCACCCAGCCAGTAGACGTTTAGCTCCACCCCCTCCTCCTGCACCCAGCCAATGGGAGGCCTAGCCACATTCCGGACCCAAGGAAACCGACATCCTTCACTACCTGCCTAGCCAGTAAGTGATCTAGTTCCATCCCTTCCACCAACCCAGCCAGTGGACCAGCTTTGCCCCCTGCATCACCTGTAACCAGGGATGGCTGAGAGATTTGTCTACACTGTAGCGTTTGCGCATCTTCACCTGCAGCAGGTTGTTGATGAGGTCGATGGCTGCACAGCAGAGAGAGAAACAGTTCAAGCGCCGCAGGACAAGGGGTCCTTCCTCCTCCAGTAGGCCCCCCTAGCCTGCCTGCCTGCCATCAACACCTTCCTTCTGCACTAGCTCAGATGACTCAGGCCTCACCTGTGCCAACCACTCACCCACCCATTTCCTCATTACCTTACGAACTTGTTTCCTCTTGCCTACCCATGTGTATACTGGCTCCTTCTCTTCACCAGTTCTCTTCTTCCGTTTCCCCATTCCCCTGGGTCACCACTTTTTTCTTTTTGCCATACACAGGTCCACACAATTACACTTGAACTATTATTTTTATTTTTACTTATTTATTGATTGAGACGGAGTCTCCCTCTGTTACCCAGGCTAGAGGGCAGAGGCACAATTTTGGCTCACTGCAACTTCCACCTCCCAGGTTCATGAGATTCTCCTGCCTCAGCCTCCTGAGTAGCTAGGAATACAGGTGTGCACCACCCCATCCAGCTAACTTTCTGTATTTCTAAGAGACATGGGGTTTCACCGCGTTGGCCAGGCTGGTCTCAAACTTCTGACCTCAAGCAATCTGCCTGCGTAGGTCTTCCAAAGTGTTGGGATTACAGGCGTGAGCCACGGCTTCACCCCAGGCTTCAGGCCCATCTTCACCCAAGTCATGGCCCTAGGACCCAGCAAAGTAGCCACGCCCTTGTCCCTCAGTCCTTCTCTCCTGGTGCCTCCTTTTTGCATGGTTGACCTTTTTGGGGTCATAAACCCAAAGGCTCCAGGTCCCAGCCAATGCCTTGAGAAGCTCGACCCCTTCTCCTGGTCACCCCAACCCTTTGGCACCCTCAAGTCCAGTCCCTCCCCTGGTCCCACCCTAGACAAGCCAAGTCTCACTCAGCCCGCTAAGGCTCCAATGTCCTCCTTAGCGCTTCTGGGACACTTGGTTTCCAGCCCAAGTAACCTAGTGTAGGCCTGAGTCCTAGCCCACCGTTTACAGGACCGCCCCTCCTGTGGCCCCGCCCCTCTGGTAGGCATGCCCCAGCACTAGGCTCCATGCCCAAGGTGCCAGGCTGTTTCCAGGTCCACCCCCTCCCGTGGCCCCCACCCACTCCTCCAGCCTCACCCCACAACCACGTACCCACCCACCCACAGGATAGGCGAGCCCCAGGCACCTCCAGCTGAGATGTGGCTCCAAGGGGTGGCCGGGTACATGAAGGCAGCATTCTGGATCTGGTCATTGATGTCCTCGTCCTCGTTGAAAGGGAACGTGCCACTGAGGCTGACGTACATGATCACGCCCACCGACCACATGTCCAGCGAGCGGTTGTAGCCCTGGTTGAGCAGCACCTCGGGCGCCAGGTAGGCCGGCGTGCCCACCACGGAGCGGCGGAACGACTTCTCCCCGATGATGCGCGCAAAGCCAAAGTCACACAGCTTCACCTGCAGAGGGCGAGGGATGGAGGGTCTAGCGGGTGATGGAGCCGCACCTGCCCCAGCATCCCCGCCGCACCACCCTCCATGGTATTCCAGAGAAAGCTGAATGCTGGTTTGAATCCAAGGCACCTCAGCTCACTAGCTGAGCACCCTGGGCAAGTGACTTCCCCACTCCGTGCCTCAGTTTCCCCAATAATAGGAAGGAGATGAGCAGAAAAGTGCCTCTCTCAGAGGACTGCCATGATGGTGAGTTAAACCATCCAAAGCCCACAGGACAATATTTGGAATGCAGTTGGTGCACAATAAATGCTAGCTGCTGCTATACCTCTGCCACCGCCAGTGGGTGTCTCAACCTCCTTGTGCCTGTTTCCTCTTTTGAACAACACAGTTTTTTTTTTTTTAATAGCCTAAAAATATACATGATCCGGCCATGGTGGCTCACGCCTGCAATCCCACACTTTGGGAGGCCGAGGATGATGAATCATTTGAGGTCAAGAGTTTGAAACCAGCCTGGCCAACATGGTGAAAGCCCATCTCTACTGAAAATACAAAAATTAGCTGGGCGTGGTGGCGCACGCTTGAGGTCTCAGCTACTTGGGAGGCTGAGGCAGGAGTATCACTTCTACCCAGGGGGCAGAGGTTGCAGTGAGCCAAGACGACACCACTGCATACCAGCCTGGGCAGCACACGGAGACTCGCTCTCAAAAAACAAACAATAAAACATGAAAGATAATGGAGAGCTTAACGGCCCCGACCTTACAGGGTGCTTGCTTCGATTGAAATATAAATATATGTAACAGGTTAGGAGCAGTGTCTAGCACAGAATGAGCCTCAGTTTTTCTCCAGGCCTTGGCTTTGTCGTCTGTATTGAGGGGATGTTAACAGCAGACCCGTCTCAGGCTTTCCTGGGGACTAGGCAGGAGCGGGTGCTGACTGTGGTATCCAGCAGACAATAGGGTGTATGCCTACCTTTCCCTCATTGTGTTGTTTCTTTTGTTTTTTGTTGTTTGAGACGGAGTCTCGCTCTGTCACCCAGGCTGGAGTGTAGTGGCACGATCTTGGCTCACTGCAACCTCTGCCTCCTGGGTTCAAGCAATTCTCCTGCCTCAGCCTCCCGAATAGCTGGGATTACAGGCACCCGCTGCCACCCCTGGCTAATTTTTGTATTTTTAGTAGAGACAGGGTTTCACCATGTCAGCCAGGCTGGTCTCAAACTCCTGACCTCAGGTGATCCACCCGCCTCAGCCTCCCAAAGTGCTGGGATTACAGGCTTGAGCCACCACACCTGGCCCCTTTCCCTCGTTGTTAATGGCTGCAGTCTAAGGTCACAGACAGGCTTTGGAGCCAGCAAGACCTGGGTTCAAGGTTCTGCTATGCTGCCCACCAGTCTCAGCCTCAGTTGCCCCTCTGTTCATGTATTGTCTCTTCCCTGTTCAAAACCCTTCCTCAACTCACTGTTGCTTGCAGGACAGAGCCCCAAATCCTTGAAGCCTGAAGCCCCTGTCACCTTTGAAACCAGCCACACCCCAACCCCTGAGCTGCATCTCAATGTGACAGCTACCCTTTCCTGAAGTCCTCTGCTCTTTCTATAGATCTTTTTACATTTTTTGTTTATTTTTGAGATGAAGTCTTTCTGTGTCGCCCAGGCTGGAGTGTAGTGGTGCCATCTCAGCTCACTGCAACCTCCACCTCCTGGGTTCAAGCGGTTCTCCTGCCTTAGCCTCCCAAGAACCTGGGATTACATGTGCCCACCATTATGCCCAGCTACTTTTTGTATTTTTAGTAGAGACAGGGTTTCACCATGTTGGCCAGGATGGTCTTGAACTCCTGACCTCAAGTGATTCTCCTGTCTCAGCCTCCCAAGTATCTGGGACTACAGGCACCCGCCACCACACCCAGCTAATTTTTGTATTTTTAGTAGAGACAGGGTTTTGCCATGTTAGCCAGGCTGGTCTTGAACTCCTGACCTCAAGTGATCCTCCCGCCTCAGCCTGCCAAAGTGTTGGGATTTCAGGCATGAGCCACTGCTCCCAACCAGAAAACTTTGAAATATGTTTCAGACAACTTGGGTATGTCAATCTATCTTCCCAACTGTTAAATTTTATAAAATCTGAACACAAGTATTTCTGATAAAAATTTCACATATGAATTGAGATATGCTGTAAGTGTAAAACACACCAGATTTTGAAGACATGGTATGAAAAACAAGCAGAATTTTTAATGGAGTTTTGTTCCTTTTTTAAGAGACAGGGTCTTGCTCTGTCATCCCAGCGGGAGTGCAGTGGCATAATTATAGCTCACTGCAGACCTGAACTCGTGGGCTGAAGCCATCTGCCCATCTTGGCCTCTCAAAGTGCTAGGATTAAAGGCAGGAGCCACCTCACCTGGCCTTCATTAAGAATTTTTATGTTGACTACATGTTGAATGAAGTGCTACATGTTGGGATAAACTATATTATTAAAATTAATTTTGGCCAGGTAAGGCAGCTCACGCTTGTAATCCCAGCACTTTGGAAGACCAAGGCAGGTGGATCACGAGGTCAAGAGATCGAGATCATCCTGGCCAACATGGTGTGAAACCCTATCTCTACTAAAAACACAGAAATTAGTGGGATGTGGTGGCATGTGCCTGTAATCCCAGCTACTTGGGAGGCTGAGGCAGGAGAATCACCTGAACCTGGGAGGCGGAGATTGCAGTGAGCTGAGATCACACCACTGCACTCCAGCCTGGCAACAGAGTGAGACTCTGTCTCAAAAAAAAAAAAATTAATTTCATCTGTTTCTTTTTACTTTTTTTTTTTTTTTTTTTTTTTTTAAGAGATAGAGTCTTCCTTTGTAACTCAGGCTGGAGTGCAGTGGCACAATCATAGCTTATTGCAGCCACCAACTCCTGGGCTCAAGCGATCCTCTCACCTCAGCCTCCCAAGTAGCTGGAACTATAGTCGCACGCCATCACGCCCGGCTAATTTTTTTCTTTTTTTGTACAGATGAGGTCTCACTCTGTTGCCCAGGTTGGTCTTGAACTCTTGGGCTCAAGTGATCCTTCTGCCTCAGCCTCCAAAATGCTACATCTTTCTTAGTATAATCCCCCTCCCCACCCCAACCCCAGCCATCAGTATTGCCTGGATTTCCCCAGATCAAGAGGGGTCATAACTGACCTGAGGAAACGGGTCAGCTGATGCCAGCAACACATTTTCTGGTTTCAAGTCACAGTGGACGATGTTCTTGAAGTGAAGGTGTCTCAAAGCCACCAGGATCTGAGGGGAGCGTGTGGGGTCAGTAAGAAAGGTAGAACTCAGCCAAATACCACCCTCAGTAGCCAGCCCTGCAAACGCATTCACACCGTTCTTTTTTTCTTATTTATTTTTGAGACAGAGTCTTGCTCTGTGGCCCAGGCTGGAGTCCAGTGGCATGATCTCGGCTCACTGCAACCCCAGCCTCCCGGGTTGAACCAATTCTCCTGCCTCAGCCTCCTAAGTAGCTGGGACTACAGGTGTGCGCCACCATGCCCAGCTAACTTTTTTGTATTTTTGGTAGAGATGGGGTTTCACCATGTTGGCCAGGCTGGTCTCAAACTCCTAGCCTCAAGTGATCTGCCCGCCCTGGCGTCCCAAAATGCTGGGATTATAGGCATGAGCAAGCCACTGTGTTTGGCCCCATCCATGCCCTTCCTACACACCCCTGCAGACACCCCCCACCTCTCCAGGGAAACAGGAGGCATTGGAACACCAAAGAATCTCAGAATCATAAAAATATTTACACCTAAGAGATGAGTTAAATGTAAACTGCAAAGGCTGGACTAGATCAGCTGGGCTGCAAAGATCCCGAGACCTTCTGCTTGTGGTAATCTGAATGCTACTAATAGAGCAGGCATTTTCAACATCCAATTGCGTGATTCCACTTTTTTTTTTTTTTTTTTTTGAGACAGTCTCGCTGTCACTCAGGCTGGAGCGCAGCGGCGGGATCAAGCCTCACTGCACCCTCGACTTATCAGGCTCATTCCATCCTCCCCTGCCTCAGCCTCCCTAGTAACCGGGACTACAGGCACACACCGACATGGTGAAACCCCATCTCTACTAAAAAACACAAAAATGAGTGGGACGTGGTGGCGTGTGCCTGTAGTCCCAGCTACTCGGGAGGCTGAGACATGAGGATCACCTGAACCTGGGAGGCAGAGGTTGCAGTGAACTGAGATCACACCACTGCACTCCAGCCTGACAACAGAGAGAGACTGTCTCAAAAAAAAAAATTAATTTCATCTGTTTCTTTTTACCTTTTTTTTTTTTTTTTAAATAGAGACCGGGTTTCACCACATTGGCCAGACTGGTCTCAAACTCCCGACCTCAGGTGATCCACCTGCCTCAGCCTTCCAAAGTGCTGGGATTCCAGGAGTGAGCCCCTGCGCCCGGCCCATATCCAGATTTTGTGTCGTCATCTCCCAGTTCACGTGAACAAAGAGGGCGGGTTGGAAGCTAGATAGACCCAGGCTCAAATCTTGGCTGGACAGCTGCTCGGCTGAGACCTCAAGGGAGACCACTCCCCGAGCCTCAGTTTCGTCATCTATACCATGGGGGTTATAGTAACACCTACCTCACAGGATGGTGGTGAGGCCTAGATAAGCTCGTGAAGTAAAGGGCTTAGAAGAGGGCCTGAGTGTGGGCAGGAAAGAGCCCAGAAAGCAGAAATCTGCAGAGAGAAACAACGAAGAACGAGCAGGCAAAAGGGAAGGAAGAGACAGAAGGCCAGAAAAAAACCCCCTCAGCTGCTACAAGCTGTCACCTGTGAGAACCATGATTCCTCTCCACACCTAAAGTGTGGATACGGCTGGGCATGATGGCTCATGCCTGTAATCCCAGCACTTTGGGAGGCTGAGATGGGAGGATCACTTGAGGTTAGGAGTTCCAGACCAGCCTGGGCAACATGGTGAAACCCCATCTCTACTCAAACTAAAAAAATTAGCCAGGCATGGTGGCACACACCTGTAATCTCAGCTACTTGGGAGGCTGGAACTCCAGAGGTAGCGGGTGCAGGGAGCCAAAATCGTGTCACTGCACTCCAGCCTGGGCAGCAAAGCGAGACTCTGTCTCAAAAATAAATAATAAAGTCTGGCTGAGGCTGCATCAGTGGGTTTCTGTCCCCACCCCATAAGCCAGCCTGACAAACACAGACACACTGCCTGAGAGGATAAGGGTGTTGGGTCAGGGTAAAGGAAACCCAGCAACGATGACCCTGAGACCAACAGATGTCTCAGAGAAGGCAAGGCCCCAACCAGAGGGGAAGGCCTTTCTAGGAAGGATGTGAAACACACAAACCACAAAAGGGGATATTTAACATTGTACAAGTTCAATTCTATGGCATGCCAAACGCAGTGGCTTACACCTGTAACCCAGCACTTTGGGAGGCTGCGGCAAAAGGACCACTTGAGTCCAGGAGTTCAAGACCAGCCTGGGCAACATGGCAAGACCCTGTCTCTAAAAATACATTTTTAAAAAAAATTAAGGCCGGGCACGGTGGCTCAAGCCTGTAATCCCAGCACTCTGGGAGGCCGAGGCGGGTGGATCACAAGGTCGAGAGATCGAGACCAACCTGGTCAACATGGTGAAACCCCGTCTCTACTAAAAAATACAAAAAATTAGCTGGGCGTGGTGACGCGTGCCTGTAATCCCAGCTACTCAGGAGGCTGAGGCAGGAGAATTGCCTGAACCCAGGAGGCGGAGGTTGCGGTGAGCCGAGATCGCGCCATTGCACTCCAGCCTGGGTAACAAGAGCGAAACTCCGTCTCAAAAAAAAAAAAAAAAAAAAATTAGTCAGGTGTGATGGCTCATGCCTGTGGTTCCAGCTAACTCAGGAGGCTGAGATGGGGGGATTGCTTGAGCCCAGGAGTTCAAGACCTGCCTGGGCAACATGGAGAGATGCTGTCTCTACAGAAATATTAAAAAAAAAAAAGGCCGGGCGCGGTGGCTCAAGCCTGTAATCCTAGCACTTTGGGAGGCCGAGGCGGGTGGATCACGAGGTCGACAGATCGAGACCATCCTGGTCAACATGGTGAAACCCCATCTCTACTAAAAATACAAAAATTAGCTGGGCATGGTGGCGCGTGCCTGTAATCCCAGCTACTCAGGAGGCTGAGGCAGGAGAATTGCCTGAACCCAGGAGGCGGAGGTTGCGGAGAGCCGAGATGGTGCCATTGCACTCCAGCCTGGGTAACAAGAGTGAAACTCCGTCTCAAAAAAAAAAAAAAAATTAGCCAAGTGTGGTGGCAGACACCTGTAATCCTAGCTACGCAGGAGGCTGAGGCAGAGAACTGCTTGAACCCAGGAGGTGGAAGTTGCAGTGAGCCAAGACTGCGCCACTGCACTCCAGCCTGGGCAACAGAGCGAGACTCTGTCTCAAAAACAACAAAAAAACTTAGTTGGATGTGGTGGCTCACACCTCTTGATCCAGCTAACTCAGGAAGTGGAGATAGGAGAATCGCTTGAGCCTAGGAGTTTGGGGCTGTAGTGAGCTATGATCACACCACTGCGCTCCAGCCAGGGTGACAGAACGAGACCCAATCTCAAAACAAACAAATAAATAAAATAAAACCCTATGGTAAATAAAAGCTAAATATAAAATAAAGAGCCAAACAAACACTGGGATAAAAACAATGAATGAGCAACTTAAGTGATAAGAATCTAATGTGTCTCCCCCAAAAACACAGAAATGCACATGTCTAGGAAGAAAAAAAAGAATCTAATGTCCTTCATATACAAAGAGCGCCTACAATTCAAAAAGATAACAGTCCATTGACAAATGGGCAAAGGGTAATACAGCATAGGCCAATAAACATGAAAACATATTCAACCTCACACATTTTATATAAATTTATATATTATATATAATATATACATATATAATATACATACATATATATGTATATAATATAAATATTTACATGTATATTGATTATAAATATATAACATACTGTTATATATTTTATATAATATGTATATTAATATAAACATATATATGTATTAAAATTTACTTATGAATGAATGAAAGAGGATCTCCATCTCCCAGGCTGGCATTGAATTCCTAGGCTCAAGTGATCCTCCCTGAGCTTCCCAAAGTGCTGGAATTACAGGCATGAGCCACTGTACCAGGCCCCATAATAATTATTATTTTTTTGAGACAGAGTCTCCCTCTATCACCAGGCTGGAGTGCAGCGGCATGATCTCGGCTCACTGCAACCTCTGCCTCTTGGGTTCAAGCAATTCTCTGCCTCAGCCTCCCGACGAGCTAGGACTATAGGCGCGCACCACCATGCCCTGCTAATGTTTGTATTTTTAGTAGAGACGGGATCTCATCACGTTGGTCAGGCTGGTCTTGAACTCCTGACCTCATGATCCACCTGCCTCTGCCTCCCAAAGTGCTGGGATTAGAGGCGTGAGCTACTGCACCTGGCCTACTCTTTATGATTTTTAATTGTTATTGTTACTCTATTTAATTTTTTTTCTTTTCTTTTCAAGAGGCAGGGTCTTGCTATGTTGCCCAGGCTGGAGCACACTGCCTCTTCACAGATGCGCTCTCACTACTGATCAGGTTAAAGAGCCTTTTTTTTTTTGAGACGGAGTTCTGGCTCTCGTTACCCAGGCTGGAGTGCAATGGTGCGATCTCGGCTCACCGCAACCTCTGCCTCCTGGGTTCAGGCAATTCTCCTGCCTCAGCCTCCTGAGTAGCTGGGATTACAGGCATGCGCCACCATGCCCAGCTAATTTTTTGTATTTTTAGTAGAGGCGGGGTTTCACCATGTTGACCAGGATGGTCTCGATCTCTTGACCTCATAATCCACCGGCCTCGGCCTCCCAGAGTGCTGGGATTACAGGCTTGAGCCACCGCACCCGGGCAGGTTAAAGAGCTTTGAACTGCTCTGCTTCCAACCTGGGCTGCTTTGCAACCTGGTGGCCCCCGGCTCCTGGGAGGTCACCGTGTGGATGCCAAACTTAATGAGGACTACTGATCCACACAGAACTCCTGGGATCAAGTGATCCTCCTGCCTCAGCCTCTGGAGTAGCTGGGACCACAGGCACATGCCACCGTGCCCAGCTTGTGTTTTTGATTACGGTTTCTATCATCTGCTACTGTGACTCCCGCCAGTGTCTGCCTGGCCTCCTAGGCATGCAGGGCCTGTCCAAGCTGACACCTGATGGGGAGGGGCGGGTGGCAGCTGGCAGGCCGGGCGCACCTGGGTGATGAGGAACTTGGTAAGGCGCTCAGGCAGCCGGCCCTTCTCGCTGGAGAGGATCATCTCCAACATGTCCCCATGCAGCTTCTCCATCACCACAAACACTTTCTCAGGTGTCTCGAACATGCACTCCAGGTTCACGATCCCGGGGTGCCGCAGGCTCTGCAGGGTGGGACACAGGGTCAGGGCCAGATCATCCACAGACTCAGACCCCAAAGGGTCAGGTATGGGAGCAGGAGGATGACAAGGAGAAGGATGTCGCCGGGGTGGTGGCACTGGGGGAGGGAAGGAGGCTTCCCACAGGCCAAGACAGAACAGGCCCACCTCCACTCCACCTGCCAGGTGCCCAGAAAGGTTTTTTGCCTTTTTTTTTTTTTTTTTTTTTTTTTGAGACGGAGTTTCGCTCTTGTTACCCAGGCTGGAGTGCAATGGCGCGATCTCGGCTCACCGCAACCTCCGCCTCCTGGGTTCAGGCAATTCTCCTGCCTCAGCCTCCTGAGTAGCTGGGATTACAGGCACGCGCCACCATGCCCAGCTAATTTTTTGTATTTTTAGTAGAGACAGGGTTTCACCATGTTGACCAGGATGGTCTCGATCTCTTGACCTCGTGATTCACCCGCCTCGGCCTCCCAAAGTGCTGGGATTACAGGCTTGAGCCACCGCGCCCGGCCGCCTTTCTTTTTAAATATAGAGATGGGGGCTGGGCACGGTGGCTCACGCCTGTCATCCCAGCACACTGGGAGTTCAAGGCAGGTAGATCACCTGAAGTCAGGAGTTCAAGACCAGCCTGGCCAAGATGGTGAAACCCAGTCTCTAATAAAAATACAAAACTCAGCCGGGTGAGGTGGTGCATGCCTGTAATCCCAGCTACTCTCGAGGCTCAGGCAGGAGAACTGCTTGAACCTGGGAGGCAGAGGTTGCAGTGAGCCAAGATTGCGCCACTGCACACCAGCCTAGGCGACAGAGCGAGAGTCTGTCTCAAGAAAAAAAAAAAAAAAATAGATATATAGAAATGGGGTTTTGCTCTGTTGGCCAGGCTGGTCTCAAACTTCTGGCCTCAAATGATCCTCCCATCTCAGCCTCCCAAAGTGCTGTGATTACAGGTGTGAGCCACCATGCCCAGCCCAGAGGATCTTTACATCTTGAAATTCCGGTGGAAGCCCAGGGTTTCAGGAGGGAGGAGGGGGAGCTCAGGGAAGTAGGGAGAGCTCTGCACGACTGTATCTTTTAAATCCATACCCCCTCCACTTCCATGCCCCCAGCCCTGTCCTGGCCTAACCCCTCTCTCCCACCCGGATCCCCACTCAGCCTCCTGGCTGAGTCACTTCCCTTTCCACCCACCCTCCAGGTGGCAGTCAAGGGATCTTCCTAAAGTACACACCTGATCCTGCTCCTCCCTTGCTCAAAAGCCTTCTATGGCTCCCCAGTGCTCTCAGGAGAAAGTCCACAGGGCCTGGCTCCACTCTCGTCCCTGGCCTCATCTCCCAGTACCTCCTTCCTAGAAAACCTCATGCTTCCTAGAAAACCTTCTGTGCAAAGGCCTTTCACCAGGCCTTTGTACAAGGTGGTCCTTCCACTATGAACACCTTCTCCTCCCCTTCCGTCTCAACATGCATATGCCCTTCTGCAGGAAGCCTTCCCTGACCACCCTTACCCTGGCTCAGCTGGCCCCTGAAAGGAAGAAGGAGAAAGGGAAGGCGCCCTGGTGGTCACCTGCAGAATGGCCACTTCGTTCCGGAGCTGGCTCTCCTGCTTGGTGGGGAAACGCAGTTTGTCAATGACCTTAACCGCCACATCCCGGCCTGTCTTCCGGTGCTTTCCTGGGCAGGGAGTAGGAGAGAGGAGAGATGAGAGAGCAAGACCACCCAGTCCTGGCAGGAGCATTCCTACCTCTGCTGATCTCTGCCCCCCACCATGGAGACAGCCAGAGTTGAGCAGAGCTGGAAGGCCCCAGGAGACGTGTAAAAGCCACGAGAGGTGCACCTTGGGAGTAAAGGCAGAAAGAAGGAAAGAAAAAGGAAACTCCAAGGCGGAGACTCTCTAACGTAGGGAAATGGATTTATAGCCGGTCAGAATCCAGCATCGAGTTTTGTGTGGCCCATAAGAGTCCCGGGGACAGGGGAGCGACAGATGTGTGAGGACTCCAGGCACAGGATAATCTCCACCCAAATTCTACACTGCCAAGAGTGTAGAATTGACCCTCCACGTCCTATCAAACTCTAGGATCTAGCTCTGTGGCAAAATGAATTGTAAAATCCGCCCCCCCCAATCCAATCAGAATCTAGGATCTAGCCGGTGGCCAACCCCAGAATGCAGAATCTACCCTCCTATCCAATCAGAATCTAGGATCTAGTTCTGTGGCCAGAGTGCAGAATCTACCTTCCCTAGTCAATCGAAATCTACCTCTGAGACCAGAGTGCCGAATTTACCCTTCCTATTAATAACAAGAGGAAAGAAGAACCTGCAGCCAGTCCACCCGGGATCTAGCTTTCTAAGACAATCCACATAGGAGATGAGCATGTGACCGATCAGAAAGGAAGGGTTGGAGCCGGGAAGAAACGATTGGAGCCAGAACAGCTTCCCCGAGACCCAGGCCCCCACTGGGTTAGCTCTCAAGTGTCCTCACCTCCATACACCACTCCAAACTGCCCTGAGCCCAGCACTTCGTCAGGGAAGATCTGGTAGACAGTGGCAATGTCCTGCAGGGTGAAGACAGGACAGGTCAGGGGTGCGAATGGAAATGGGGGAGGGGGAGTCGAGGGGATGAGAGAGCTGGGGAGAGTGTGCGCGAGGGGAGGGCATCAGGTGTGGGCAGGAGTCTCACCACGTTCTCTTGGATCTGACTGTTGGACACAGAGATGCTCAGAGAAGCTTGTCCTGGGGAGAGGGAGAGACCGAGGGGAGACACAGAGGTGAGACGACTCCAGGCGCAGGGTTATCTCTACCCATACCTGCAAACGCAGACTCGGGAGTCAGGCCCACCCAGGTTTGGATCCAGTGTGCACTACAATGTGCAACTTCAGGCTGGTGACGTGTCACTATGAACCTTGGTTTCCTCATCTAGAAAATGGAAATAATAGAGCCAGGCGCGGTGGCTCAAGCCTGTAATCCCAGCACTTTGGGAGGCCGAGGCGGGTGGATCACAAGGTCAAGAGATCGAGACCATCCTGGTCAACATGGTGAAACCCCATCTCTACTAAAAATACAAAAAACTGCCGGGCGCGGTGGCTCAAGCCTGTAATCCCAGCACTTTGGGAGGCCGAGGCGGGTGGATCAGGAGGTCGAGAGATCGAGACCATCCTGGTCAACATGGTGAAACCCCGTCTCTACTAAAAAGTGCAAAAAATTAGCTGGGCATGGTGGCACGTGCCTGTAATCCCAGCTACTCAGGAGGCTGAGGCAGGAGAATTGCCTGAGCCCAGGAGGCGGAGGTTGCGGTGAGCCGAGATCGCGCCATTGCACTCCAGCCTGGGTAACAAGGGTGAAACTCCGTCTCAAAAAAAAAAAAAAAAAAAATACAAAAAACTAGCTGGGCATGGTGGTGCCTGCCTGTGATCCCAGCTACTCAGGAGGCTGAGGCAGGAGAATTGTCTGATCCCAGGAGGCGGAGGTTGCGGTGAGCCGAGATCGCGCCATTGCACTCCAGCCTGGGTAACAAGAGCGAAACTCCGTCTCAAAAAAAATACAAACAAACAAACAAAGAAAATGGGAATAATAAAAGGACCTCCCTCATAGGGCCGCTGGGGGAAGTCAAAGAGACGTGCTGAGCAGCTGGAGTGAAGTCACGGATGATTTTGCTGAGGATTTTACCCCTGGATTTCACTTCAGCACCAGGGGAGGCAGACTGACCCCTTTATACAGAGAAGGACACTGAGTCTTGGAGGGAAAGTGCAGACTGACTCCTGTGTCTTCCCCTGAGCTCGCCCCCGAAAAACCCAACCAGAGCCAGTCACTTCTGTAGTCCTGAGCCTTCTGCCCTTTGAACGTCAGTCCCTTCCACCCATCCACAGCCTAGTCTAGGCCCCTGCTCACCCCCCAACTCTGGGTCCTCACCCCACAGCCCTTTCCCTGGTCTCCTGCCCCAATCCTGTCCCCTCCTATTCACTTCCACAGAGAAGCCAGAGGGATCTTACGGAGACACAAGACTGACCCTGTCCCTCCTCTGCTCACAACTCTCCCATGGCTCCCCAGTGCCCTCAGGAAGAAGCCTGAGCCCCTTAAAGGGCCCAAAAGGCATGGCTGAGAGCCTCATCTGCCAGGGACTTCAACCCCTAACATGCTATTCCTGACACACCGGCCTTCCTCCTGGGCCTCACATACAGCAGGCTCTTTTCTTTCTCCTGGTCTTTGCAGGTGCTGTTTCCTCTGCCAGGAACACTCTTTCCTTCATCCTACACTTAGCTAAATCCTCCAGTGTCAGCGCAAGCGTCACTCCTAGGACCAAGTCGGATTACACTCACAAATGTTCTGCATCGCACTCCATTGCTTGTGTGGGTTAATGATCAATGTCTGTGGCCCACGCTGGATTATAAGCTCCAGAGGGTGGGAACCTGGTACTCTCATCACTTTTTGCCTCTGCCTAAAATGAGCTCCCATTTGCTTTCCCACATCTCACCCCGCCTCAGCCTCCAGGTCCCAGTTCAGATGTCACCTCCTCGAGTAAGCCCTCCTAGATACCTAACCCATTAGGTAACCCTCTGGGCTCCTCCAGCTCCCTGGCTCCCTTGTCCCAACCCTGTCCACCCTGGACTGTCACTCTCTAAAGATGGGTATTCTGCCCACTGCTATCCCCAGCACCATCTCACACAGAGAAGGCACTCAATAAGTGCGTGAAGACTTATCACCACCTGGAACAAGGCTCACGGATGGGAAGTGACATGGCCAAGGCCACATAGTAGGCCAGGAGCTTAGCAGAGATTTTTTTGTGGATTTTGGTTGTTTCTCTTTTTTGGAGATGGCGTCTTGCTCCATCACCCAGACTGGAGTGCAGTGGTGTGATCATGACTCACTACAGGCCCTCAACCTCCCAGGCTCAAGCAAAGCTCCTGCCTCAGCCTCCCAAGTACCTGGAACCACAGGTGTGTGCCACCACACCTGTTTAATTGTTTTATTTTTTTGTAGAGATGGAATCTTGCTATGTTGCCCAGGCTGGTCTTGAACTCCTGGCCTCAAGTGATCCTCCCGCCTTGGCCTCCCAAAGTGCTGGGATTAACAGGCGTGATAAAAGAGTTTGAACCCAGGCCTGCTGAGTCCAGAAGCCACATTCTCAACCTCACCATAGCCCACCTCCGTCTTTGGCCCTTCCACTCCCCAGAATCCTGCCCGCCCACCTAGACCCATTCTCTCAAGGACCTGAAGTGGGGGGACTTACTGTGGGGCGCGTGGCCTGGGGCGCTGGGTGCATCCTGAAGGATGACAGGCATCAGAGCCTGGCGGATGGCTGTCTCCCAGCCCCGGGCAGCCTCGGCCCCCTGCCCACTCGGCCCACCCGGAGCCCCGCCAGGCATCTCGCCCACGAAGTAGGTGGCATTGGCAGTGATGATCTCAAAGCAGTGTGGGTTGGTGCCCGGTGGCACAAGGCTGAAGTTCTGGGCGGGCTCCACCGTAAGGATTTCTGACAGTGGAATTTCCTGCAGGACATGGAACCAGCACAGGTGAGGATGCCAGGCAGACCATGCAATTCTACTGAAAATACAAAAATGAGCCGGGCACAGTGGTGCGTGCCTATAATCCCAGCTATTTGGGAGGCTGAGGCAGGAGAATCACCTGAACCTGGGAGACAGTGGTTGCAATGAGCCGAGATTGCGCCACTGCACTCCAGCCTGGGCGACAGAGCGAGATTCCATCTCAGAAATAATAATAGTAATAATAATTACTGGCAGAAGTGATATTGAAGCAGAGACCAGAAAGGTAAGAAGAGGCCAGCTGGCAAGGAGTGGGTGAGCCAGAGCGTGAGCAAAGGCCCTGAGGAAAGGCTGTGCTCAAAGGCTAAGCTGCATCTCCGCCACGTGGGGTGGTGCCTGGACACAGTAGGAGCTTGGAAAACATTTGACGGCCGGGCACGGTGGCTCATGCCTGTACTCTCAGCACTTTGAGAGGCCGAGGTGGGCAGATGGCCCAGGAGTCCAAGACCAACGAGACGAAGATGGAACCGGAGCCGAGTGCGGGCAGCGGACGCGGTTCCGCCGAGAGCCGAAGTTGGCGGTGAACGTATACTCAACGTCAGTGACCGGTGATAATCTAAGTCACAGGGCATGCAGGCCTGGATCAATGAGTCTCTGCAGTTGAATCTGACACAGCTATGCTCAGGGGCTGCCTGTTGTCAGTTTACGGACTTGCTGTGCCCTGGCTCCAAGCTAAGCTAGAACACGCATACATCCAGAACTTCAAAATACAAGCGGGTTTTAAGAGGATGGGTGTTGACAAAACAATTCCTGTGGACAAATTAGTAAAAGGAAAGTTTCAGGATAATTGTGAATTCGTTCAGCGATTCAAGGAGTTTTCTGCCGAAAACTGTGACGGAAAAGACTATGACCCTGTGGCTGCCAGACGAGGTCCAGAAACTGCAGTGGCTCCCTCCCTCATCGCTCCAGCTCAATGTATTGAAACTTGCTGTCAAAGACTTGGAGAAAGACGGGGGTTTCTACTTCGGAAAGCTACGGAACACTGAATCGATTTGCCAGGAGAATGAGAAGGAAAACCACCCGGTATTGCGGAGGATTGTAGCCGTTCTGTATGCCACAGATGGAGGCTGTGTGATACCTGAGGAAGGGGGCCCACAGGAGAAGGAAGAGGAGTATGACCAGCCTGGAGCAGCAGAGCAACACCCGGATTCTTCACTCCGAATCATGTACTTCACTGTCAAATACCCCCTTTCATTATCCTTAAGCAAAAAGTACTTCTACTTAAAGTGGACTTTGCAGACGTTTCACTCCTTTTCCAGTAAGTTCGAGTTGAGCTTTCACCTTGGAGCAGGCAGTATCGACATCTCGTTGGTTCACCTGGGAAGCAAAGAGGCTGACCCTGGGGCTCGCCGTTGGGATTCCGGTCACACTGAGTGCTGGAGGAGGGGTCATGTCATATGCGGAGTGGCCTCAGTGGAGAAATGTCAAGACTGAATTGAATTTTAAGCTACTGTGAAATCAGAGAATGCTGTAATAAATAAATGCCTTAAGAGTAAGAAAAAAAGAAAAAGAAAAAAAGACCAGCCTGGGCAACATAGTGAGACCCTGGCTCTACAAAATATTTAAAAATTAGGCAAGGTGCCACAAGCCTGTAATCTCAGCACTTTGGGAGGCCAACGCAGTCCGCTGGAGCCCAGGAGTTTGAGACCAGCCAGGGCAACACAGTGGGACCCCCATCTCTACAAAAATTGCAAAAATTAGCCAGGCATGCTGGGGAGAGACTATAATCCCAGCTACTAGGGAGGTGGGAGAATCATTTGAGCTGGGGAGCCAGAGGTTGCAGTAAGCCATGATCATGCCACTGCACTTGGGAGACAGAGCAAGATCCTTTTGCAAAATAAACCTTTGATACTAAATGAAGGAAATGAGGCCACGCAGGGCTTTACAGGTCACAGGGAGGAGCCTGGGCTTTGTCCAAGGGCCCTAGGGAGCCACTGTAGGCTTCTGAGCATCATCTGCTGGTGTGCGGAGGGCAGATGGAATAAAATGAGATGGAGACAGCGAACCAGGAAGGAGGCTGAGGGGACCCAGGTGGGAAAGAAGGCGCAGGGACCATGGGGTAGGAAACGTGTCCAAGGAGGAAGGGGGAGGGAGGATGAATGACTTAGGTAGCCCATAAAACCAGGTGGTGACATGGACACATAGGGGGTGAGGACAGCATTTTATTTATTTTACTTTTTTTTGAGACGGAGTTTCGCTCTTATTACCCAGGCTGGAGTGCAATGGCACTATCTCGGCTCACCACAACCTCCACCTCCTGGGTTCAGGCAATTCTCCTGCCTCAGCCTCCTGAGTAGCTGGGATTACAGGCACGTGCCACCATGCCCAGCTAATTTTTTGTATCTTTAGTAGAGACGGGGTTTCACCATGTTGGCCAGTATGGTCTCGAGCTCTTGACCTCGTGATCCACCCGCCTCGGCCTCCCAAAGTGCTGGGATTACAGGCTTGAGCCACCGCGCCCGGCCTATTTTACTCTTTTTGAGACAGAGTCTTGCTCTGCTGACCAGGCTACAGTGCGGTGGCACAATCTCCGCTCACTGCACCCTCCACCTCCCAGGTTCAAGCTATTCTCTTGCCTCGCCTCCCAAGTAGCTGGGATTACAGGCACCCGCCACCACAGCTACCTTTGTATTTTTTTTTTTTTTTTTTGAGACAGGGTTTCACCATGTTGGTCAGGCTGGTCTTGAACTCCTGACTTCAGGTGATCCACCCGCCTCGGCCTCCCAATGTGCTGGGATTATAGGCGTGAGCCACCAAGCCTGGCCTAATTTTTGTATTTTTAGTAGAGACAGGGTTTCACCATGTTGGCCAGGCTGGTTTCAAACTCCTGACCTCAAGTGAGCCCCCACCTCGGCCTCCCGAAGTGCTGGGACTACAGGCGGGAGCCACTGCACCTGGCCAAGCACAGCATTTTAGATGGTGTTGTCTGAACAAAATGGGAAGATGAGAAGAAACCAGCTACGGAAAATCCAAGGAAGACACTCCAGGGCAAGGAACAGTTGGAGTCCAGGTTGTATTCCTCTAAGGACAATGGGAGCCACTGGAGAGTTTTGACGGTTTCTTTTCTTTTCTTTTTCTTTCTTTTTTTTTTTTTTTTTTTTTGAGACATATTCTCCCTCTTGTCTCCCAGGCTGGAGTGCAATGGCACAATATCGGCTCAATGCAACCTCTGCCTCCTGGGTTCAAGAGATTCTCCTGCCTCAGCCTCCCGAGTAGCTGGGATTACAGGCTATTCACCACCACGCACGGCTAATTTTTGTATTATTAGTAGAGATGGGGTTTCTCCATGTTAGTCAGGTTGGTCTCGAACTCTCGACCTCAGGTGATCTGCCCGCCTCGGCCTCCCAAAGTGCTGGGATTATAGGCGTGAGCCACCATGCCAGGCCTTGATGCTTTTAATAAAGACTCCCCCGGATGCTAATGGGGGAAATGACAAGAGGCTTCGAGATCAGAAGCAAGGACCCTGCAAGGAGAAGGCTGCAACCATCCAGGTGGAAGACAGTGCGTGTGCCACAGGACACAGTGTGGGCATGGGAGGAGCTAATGAATAGGCACACATCATGCAATACATTAATTATAAAGGAATAGTGAGAATAGCCTTAGAATTACTGGGAGCTTAACATATACCACGCCCTAAGCTGATTGCTTTACTGGATTGGCTCTTTGAATTCCTGCACCAGCCCTGAGGTATTAGCATTTGAGGCATTTTACAGGGAAGAAGCCTGAGGCACCAAGAAGTAAGGGAACCCGCCCGGATTCCCTTCCCTCCCTTCCCTGCCACCCCATCCACCGCAGCCCCACGCTGGAAAGTGATGGGGCCAGAATCAGATGATCAGCACTTGCTGATGAGCTGAGGCAGGGAGGACGTGATTTGCAGGATCTGTGTGGAGTAACTGGGGGTAGAAGGAGGTATGGAGAAGTTTGTGGGCACAGAGGGAAGCCCGGGGGAGCTGAGGGCCCGGGGGCTCACCTTATAGTATCTGTTGGTCGTGTTGTTCTGGAAGAGGGTGATGCACTTGCAGTCCAGGCGCCAATAGTGCCGCTTTCTCTGCAGAGAAGTTTGAAAGGTCAGGCGAACCGCCAGACTTTCCTCCCCAGTCCCTGTCCGGTGGTGCTGTTTGGGGCTCCAGGTGTCTGGGGCACCACGTGCACGCCCTAAGCCTAGTACCTACCCCACGATGTAACCCCACCCCGCCTACACGCCCTAACCCTAGCCCCGCCCCTAGCTTTAACCCCAGCCCATCCCCCACACCCTAACCCCAGCCTCGCCCCCACTTAGCCCTCTTCCTCCAGCCAAGCTCCTCACCTAACTCTAGCTCTCCCCGCGCCTCCCCACCCCGCGCCTTGCCTTCAGCCCCACGTCTTCCCTAACTCCTGCCCCTCGTCCCACCCTTGAAACCCGCACTCCTAATTCTAGCCCCGCCTCCAGCACAGCCCCGCCCACGTCTAGCTCCAGCCCCACCCACCTAGCCCCGCCCACTCCAGCTGAGCCGTCCCTCTTCCAACCCTCGCTCCTCTGCACCAGGCCCTGCCCCGGCCACTCACCAGCGTGTCCTTGTTGCTGTAATGAACCACCCAGCCCTCCCGCAGCGTGGTGCTGGATTTCCGTGTCGTGTGTCGCACCGACTGCACCACCCTCATTAGGGGGATATACCCCAGGGAGCTGCGGAGGAAGAGGAAGCGGTGACAAGTCACATGCAGAAAATGACCATGCTGCTTGGGCTGCAGGGATCATCTCTGGGAAGCTAGGGAGTTGAAGAATTTTTTGTTTTGTTTTGCCAGTACCCCCCGCCCCCACCCGCCACGTCCCCGGGAGTTGTTTTTTGTTTCTTTGCTTTTAAGTGTCTCGCTCTAGGCCGAGAGCAGTGGCTCACGCCTGTAATCCCAGCACTTTGGGAGGCTGAGGCAGGCGGATCACAAGGTCAAGAGAGCGAGACCATCCCGGTCAATATGGTGAAAGCCCGTATCTACAAGAAATACAAAAATTAGTTGGGCTTGGTGGCGCACGCCTGTAGTCCCAGCAACTCCGGAGCCTGAGGCAGGAGAACTGCTTGAACCCAGAAGGCAGAGGTTGCAGTGAGCCAAGATAGTGCCACTGCACTCCAGCCTGGTGACAGAGCAAGACTCCCCGTCTAAAAAACAAAAACGCCAGTGGCTCTACCCCAGGGCCTTTACATTTACTGTTGCCTCTGCCTGGAAGCCTCTTCCCCGAGAGCCCCACAACGCTCCTACCCTCCACTCCCTTCAGCTGCCACTTCCTCAGTGAGGTCTCCTTGAATGATCCTAAGAAAGCACATCTCCCATTCTCCATCTCCTCTTGTTTTATTTTTATCACCATTACCAATATCCGATGCTATGGATGCATTTATTAGCTGTCTCCCCACTGAGACCGTCAACTCCAGGAGGCCAGACTTACCTCTTTTGTTCATAGCTGTGAGCTTGGAGTCAGAACACAGCAGGTGCTCATTAATATTTTCCCATGCACCCGTGAAGGTGCCCCCTTACCCCTACACCAACTTTATCACCCTGCAGGGTAGGTACCTCATCATCCCAGGAGGAAACCAGGGCAGCCAGGGAAGTACCTAGCAAGTGAAGCAGCAGAGCTGGGATCTGGGCTCTCAGCCTCCAGTGCCTGCGTGAACCACGCTGCTTCCCAGCTTTTTCAATAAACGTTCACGCCACACCTAAGTAGGAAGCACCTGATCTAAGCCAGCCCTGTTCTAGGCAGCTGGGAGGGCAGATAATATCCTCGCCCTCCCGCACCTGAACTCACTTTCCAGTGAAGCTGAATAAGTAGGAACTCTGTATAGTTTAAAAATCTGTGGGCTGGGGGCATGGTGGTGCACACCTGTAATCCCAGCACTTTGGGAGGCTAAGGTGGGAGGATTGCTTGAGTGCAGGAGTTCAAGACCACCCTGGGCAACATAGCAAGACCCCTATCTCTAAAAAAACTAAAAAAAAAAAAAGAATAATATAGGCCAGGTGTGGTGGCTCATGCCTGTAATCCCAGCACTTTGGGAGGCCAAGGTGGGTGGATCACCTGAAGTCAGGAGTTCAAGACCAGCCTGACCAACATGGTGGAACCCCATCTCTACTAAAAAAAAACCACACACACACAAAATTAGCCAGGTGTGGTGGTAGGCACCTGTAGTCCCAGCTACTCAAGAGGCTGAAGCAAGAGAATTGCTTGAACCCGGGAGGCAGAGCTTGCAATGAACTGAGATTGCGTCACTGTAATCTTGAGCTCAGGAGTCAGGAGTCTGAGACCACCCTAGGCAACACAGGGTAGTCCCTGTCTCTAAGAAAATACAAAAACTAGCTGGGTGTGGGTGGCTCGAGCCTGTAGTCCCAGCTGCTCGGGAGGCTAAGTGGCAGGATCCCTTGAGCCCAGGAGGTCAAGGCTGGAGTAGGTCAAGACTGCACCATTGCTCTCCAGCCTGGGTGACAGAACGAGACCCTGTCTCAAAAAAAAAAAAAATTATTTAAAAACAGTTTTAGCACTTTAAAAGGTTTGCCTCAGAAACTGGGAAAATTTACAAATATGGGGTGATGCCAGCCCATTGTAGAAAAAAGTAAATTGGCCGGGCGCTGTGGCTCACGCCTGTAATCCCAGCTCTTAGGGAGGCAGAGGCGGGAGGATAGCTTGAGCCCAGGAGTTCGAGACCTGCCTGGGCAATATAGCGAGACCCTGTTCTCCACAAAAAGGAAAAAAACAAAAAGACAAAAAAAAAAAATAAGCGTAAAGAAAAAAGTAAATTGAGGTTCGCTGTGTAGGACAATCTTCCCCCAGGGTCTCTTGGAGGGCTCTGGGTGTACCTCTGGGCCTTGCCTCCCTCGCCTTCTTCCTCCTCACTGGCGTGGAGTGCATTCTCCGAGTGGGAGCCTGGAATCACACCAGCGTCCTCCGACTCATCCATGAGGGTGCCCTTGTCAGCCTCGCTGAAATCCGTGGCCTCCTCCATCGGCACATCTGCGGGGATGGAGGCGTCAGAGGGGCCTCCACCCGTCCCGCCCCTCCCCCTTTCCTCCCCAGCACCCCTGCCAGCCTCTCACCTCCATTGATGAGGGTCTCCCCTAGGCAGTCATTAGGGACACGGGTGGCGCAGCGTTTGTGACAATTAAACTTGCAGTCTGGCAGGACAGGGAACAATCGCATGGGTGAGAAGGGGAAGAGAGGTTACCTGGAAGGCCTCCACCTTGAACCCTAAGCCCCAGGCTCAAAACAGTCTACTCTTGCTGCCTTGGTCAGAACACTGGCTGCCCCTTTCCTGGTCATTTTCCCATGTTGAAACACAGTTTCCCCAACTATGGCGGTGGGTCTTGATTAAGTGGGAGGGCTAGACTCAAAATCCCGACGGCTGCTGGGGGCGGTAGCTCCCGCCTGTAATCTCAGTACTTGGGAGGTGGGGCAATCGGATCATTTGAGGTCAGGAGTTTGAGACCATCTTGGCCTACATGGTGAAACCTCGCCTGTACTAAAAATATAAAAACTAGCCAGATGTGGTGGCAGGTGCCTGTAATCCCAGCTACTCGGGAAGCTGAGGCAGGAGAATTATGTGAACCCGGGAGAGAGAGGTTGCAGTGAGCCAAGACTGTGCCACTGTACTCCAGCCTCAAAGCATGACTCCATCTAAAAAAACAACAAACCCTACAACTAAATGTGCTCACACTAAGTTTCCATGAATCTAGACTCCAATTCCAGAATGTAACTGGTTCTTTATTTTATTTACTTATTTATTTTGAGACAGGGTTTCGACCTTGTTGCCCAGGCTGGAGAGCAATGGCTCAATCTTAGCTCACTGCAACCTCCACCTCCCAGGTTCAAGGGTTTCTCCTGCCTCAGCCTCCTGAGTAGCTGGGATTACAGGTGTACCCCACCATGCTCAACTAATTTTTTTGTATTTAGTACAAATGGGGTTTCACCATGTTGTTTAGGCTGGTCTCAAACTCCTGACCTCAGGTGATCCACCTGCCTCGGCCTCCCAAAGTGCTGGGATTACAGGCGTGAGCCACTGCACCTGGCTTATGTATGTGTGTGTGTCTGTGTGTGTCTGTGTGTGTCTGTGTGTGAATGTGTGTCTGTGTATGTGTGTGTCTATGTGTCTCTGTGTGTGTCTGTGTCTGTGTATGTGTCTGTGTGTATATGTGTCTGTGTGTATGCATAGGTGTGTATGTGTGTGTATGTGTGTGTGGATGCATGTGTATAATTAGTTCTAATGGTGATGTAACTGTAGACTTTGAATACCCTAGAGCTGGGTTCCTCAACCCTTAACACCACTAACACAGTACCCAGGATACTTCCTTGTTTTAGGGTACCTACTCTGTGTAATGTAGGATGTTTAGCTTCCTCTCTGACCTCTGCATACTGGATACCAGTAGCACTATCCCAGTATCACAAACAAAACCCATCTCCAACCCTTGCCAGACATTCCCTAGGAGAAAAACTCCCTGGTTGAGAACCATTGCTATAGATTTCAACATTTCCATGGTTCTAGGGACACTACACATCAAACATTCTAGAGTTTACTAAAAACCTATTTTATGAAGGTTCTATGATTCTATATTTCTTTGTTTTTTTGAGAAACAGTCTGGCTCTGTCACCCAGACTAGAGAATGCAATGGCACAATCTTGGCTCATTACCATCTCTGCCTCCCAGGCTCAAGCGATCCTCCCACCTCAGCCTCCTGAGTGGCTGAAACCACCGGCATGCATTACCAGGCCCAGCTAATTTTTCGTATTTTTTTTGTAGGGACTGGGTCTTTCCATGTTGCACAAGCTGATTTTGAACTCCGGGGCTCAAGCAATCAGCCTCCCAAAGTGCTGGATTATAGGTGTGAGCCACTGCCCCTGGCCTGATTCTGTATTTCTAGGGCTTCAGAGTTTGACGTTCAAGTTGCTAGAAGTCTAGACATCTATGATTCGACACTTGTAAGACTCTTTCATGTCCAAGATTTTAGGATTTTATATGTCTCAACTCTAAAATTTGACAGCTCAACAGTTCCGCAATTCTAGACTTCTCTACTTCAGAATCTGCAGATTCCAAGTTTCTAGGAGTCTCTAGATTTAAGATTCTAGAATTTGATGTTCAATGCTTTTTTAGCTCTAGACTTCTAAGATTCTAGAATTCAACTGTTCCAATAAATTCTCGAGTTGGATGTTTCTAAGTTTCCACTAGACTTCTGAGGTTCTAGAATTATTATTATCCGAGACAAGGTCTTGCTCTGTCACCCACGTTGCAGTACAGTGGCATAATCACGGCTCACTGCAGCCTCAACCTCCTGGGCTCAAGTGATCCTCCCTCCTCAGAGTCCCAAGTAGCTGGGAGCACAGATACATGCTGCCACACCTGCTAATTTTTAGGGTTTTGTTTTTTGTTTTTTTGTTTTTGTTTTTGTTTTTGTAGAGACAGGGTTTCACCATTTTTCCCAGGCTGGTCTTTAACTCCTGAGCTCAAGTGATCCACCTACCTTGGCCTCCCAGAGTGCTGCAAGTACATGCAGGAGCCACCACACCTGGCTGGATTCTGAATTTGACAGTTCCAAGTTCTGGGAGTCTAGAATTTCCAGGATTCTAGGTTACAATAGTATTAAGCTTCTATGATTCTAGACGTCTAAGACTCTCAAGTTTGATAATATGTTTCTGTTATCCTCAAACCCTGTAGTTACAAAATTATAATGTTCTGAGAATCTAAAACTTGGGAGATCTAAGACGTTTAGTCGAAAGTTCTGCGGTTATTTGAGCTGAATTCTATCATTCAGAATTCTTAAATCCTGTGATTCTGATTCTAGAATTCTCAGATTCTATAGCGTTAGAATTCCATGCTAAGCACTTTATGAATCTAGGATTCCAAGGTTCTAAAGACTGAGGTTCAACTGGGTGCGGTGGCTCACACCTGTAATCCCAGCACTCTGGGAGGCTGAGGCAGGAGGATTGCTTGAGCCCAGGAGTTCAAGACCAGCCTGGACACTACAGTGATACCTTCTCTCTACAAAAAATTTAAAAATTAGCTGGGTGTGGTGGTACCACGTGTAGTCCTGGCTACTTGGGAGACTGAGGCAGGAGGATCATTTGAGCTCAATAGGCTGAAGCTGCAGTGAGCTGTGATTGTGGCACTGCACTCCAGCCTGGGTGACAGAGTAATATCCTGTCTCCAAAACACACACACACACACACACACACACACACACACACACAAAACCCAACTGAGGTTCCAGGATTCCAGAATTCCAAAGTCCCAGGATGCCAGGATTCAGGGCTCTCTCTTTCTGAGGCCCTGGGCTCCCAAGGCTCAGAATACCTGGCTTGAGATCCTCAAGAAGGGACCTTGCCTCTCCTAGGTCCCTTCTTTTTTTATTTATTTTTTATTTATTTTTTTGAGACGGAGTTTCGCTCTTGTTACCCAGGCTGGAGTGCAATGGCGCGACCTCGGCTCACCGCAACTTCCGCCTCCTGGGTTCAGGCAATTCTCCTGCCTCAGCCTCCTGAGTAGCTGGGATTACAGGCACGCGCCACCATGCCCAGCTAATTTTTTGTATTTTTAGTAGAGACGGGGTTTCACTATGTTGACCGGAATGGTCTCGATCTCTTGACCTCGTGATCCACCCGCCTCGGCCTCCCAAAGTGCTGGGATTACAGGCGTGAGCCACCGCGCCCGGCCTGGGTCCCTTCTTAAGAAGCTCTGCTCTCTCTACCTAATCTCCCACCTGCTCCTGTTCCCCTACCCCCAGCACAATCTCCTCCAAAAGGCACCACTACCTGTACACCCTCCACCACAAGCCCAGGCTGGGGCTGGGGGAAGGCTCTGACCCTGGCTGTCCCCCCCGACCGGCGGGCTAACCTTTGCATTGCAGGCCCTGCCGGAAGAGGCCCTTGAGGAGTTTCTTGCAAGCCTGGCACACGGTGGGCCGTGTGTAGCTGTGGATGAGGAAGGTATGCGGCACCTTGACCTTGGAGAGCAGCATCTTGTCCAGCTCAATAGGGCGGCCCGTGTAGGATGAGGCAGAAGAGGAGGAAGACGATGACGGGGGACGGCGAGGCAGGAGTTCGGTAGTGCTACGGCTCTGTCCTCCGCAAGGATGGAAGGGACACATCAGTATATTGTCCCCAGGCCTGGGCCCCGTCACCTCCCCCCAAGCCACCAAGCCGTCTCATTCCCCATCCCCTCACCAGCTCATCAGCCGTGCAGGGCAGGGACTCGGAGGTGCCTAGGCGCACTGAGTGGCCACTGGCCAGGGACGTGGATGACAGGCGCCGTTTGCGGGCCCCGCTGCAGTTGTTGGGGATGCTGAAGGCGCAGCGCTTGTGGTAGTTCAGCCCGCAGCCTGTAGGGGGCGCCGGAGAGTAGAAGACTTGGCGTCTGCCCCTCCCCGGTCCCTTCTTGAGAAGCTCTGCCCTCTCCACACAATCTCCCACCTGGTCCTGTCCCCTTACCGCCCCCAGCACGATCTCCTCCAAAAGGCACTACTACCTACAAGTCCACCAAACCCTTCCACCCAGGCCCGCCCCTCCTGAGAGCTCCGCCCCAAGTTCCAGCTTGTAGCTCACACCATCACCCATATGTCACCCCCACACCCCACGTCTTCCCACTCCAACAAGGGACACCTCAAAGGTCCCCGCCAAAGCGCCACCCCTAGTTCTCGCTTGTAGCCCCGCCATCACCCCGTCTGTCCCCCAGTCCCCGAACATGCCTTTCACCCCCCCTTTTCCCGCTGCAGCAAGGGACACCTCAAAAGTCCCCTCCAGCGCTGTGACCCTGCTCCAATCCTCTGTGGCAAGCACCTCCTTCCCGTCCTCACCAAAACTCCTGAACATCTCCCTGGAGACACCTGTTCCCTCTTCTAGCCCTGACCTTCCTTTTTCTGAGGCCCCTCTGGTTCCCCTCTTTCCTCAGCCCCAACTTTCCAAGAGAAAATCCTCTCCTCACCCCCACCCCTAAGGTCACCATCGTCCCCTCCAGGTCTGCTCACTCATCCCCCCCCACACCCCACTTTCTCTTTTCTGTAGACCTGGAATCCAGGAGATCCCTAAGTAGTGTGATTAAATCTTAGTAGTATCATGCATGCTGGCTCCCGCCTGTAATCCCAGCACTTTCGGAGGCCAAGGTGGGAGGATCACTTGAGGTCAGAAGTTCAAGACCCGGCTAGCCAACATAGCAAAACCCCATCTCTACTAAAAATGCACAACTTAGCTGGGCGGGGTGGCACACACCTGTAATGCCAGCTACTCAGGAGGCTGAGCCAGGAGAATCATTTGAACCTGGGAGGCAAAGGTTGCAGTGAGCCAAGATGGCGCCACTGCACTCCTGCTGGGCAACGGAGTGAGACTCTGTCTCAGAACAAACAAACAAATCAAAAAACAAACAAAAAAAGAGTTTTCAATTGTACTCCAGTTCATTGTACCATACTAGGCAGAAGTATGACTTGCTATTATCTTTATTTTATTTTGTAGAGACAGGATCTCCCTGTACCCCAGGCTGGAGCACAATGGCACAATCATAGCTCACTGCAGCCTTCAACTCCCGGGCTCAAGCAATCCTCTGCCTCAGCCTTCTGAGTAGCTTGAGTGCCACCATGCCCGGATAATTATTTGTTTTTGGTAGAGATGGGGTCTCACTGTGTTGCCCGGGCTGGTCTCGAACTCCTGGGCTCAAGCGATCCTCCCACCCCAGCCTCCCAAAGTGTTGGGATTACAGGTATGAGCCACTGTGCCTGCCTGTTTTATCTTTTAAAATCCTCATCCATGGAGAAATCAGCTCAAGTCATTGTTTCTCACTGGACCTCCTGCACTCGTGCTCAAACACATCTCCAGTGATTCCAGACGATTCTAGGATCACCTTCCATTCTGGAGGGAAGGGTGTGCCTCCAGCCTTTGCACAACCTTCCGGTACCCGCCTGCTCTGGGCTTTCCAGCTCCCATACTTCATTGTAGGCATTGTCTTGGCCACAGGCTGTCATCGTGAAGGCAAGCTTGGAGAACCATGTCCCTGCCAAGAAGAGCTTCCGAAGGGCAAATCGTCTTCGCATACAGGAACCATTTCCCAGTTTTGGCCTTGAATCGCTCATAGGCTTCCCAGAATTTCAGAATCTGTAACTCCCAGAATGAGTCTCAGGATAGAGTTAGCCTCCCGTCGGAATGCAGTCATTTGGGCTTCTCTAGACACCACAGGAACTGGGACCATCATCTGTGATGCAGCCAGCGAAGTCTGTGCTGAGAACCCATTAGGACTGGGTCGCACCACGGCTGTAGCACGACAAAGACTGGATATGCTCAGATCGTGAGAGGTGGATGTGGTGTGTGGACGATGGCAATGTTTTTAAGACTCTGAATGTACTGAATCAGTTTCTCCAGGCCCAGAGTCCTTAAATAATACAAGTACACTGAGGACAGCATGAGGCTCTGAAACATAGGATACTGGAGAATCTGGATTTCTTTTTTTTTTTCTTTTCTTTTTTTTTTTTTTTTGAGACGGAGTTTCGCTCTTGTTACCCAGGCTGGAGTGCAATGGCGCGATCTCGGCTCACCGCAACCTCTGCCTCCTGGGTTCAGGCAATTCTCCTGCCTCAGCCTCCTGAGTAGCTGGGATTACAGGCACGTGCCACCATGCCCAGCTAATTTTTTGTATTTTTAGTAGAGACGGGGTTTCACCATGTTGACCAGGATGGTCTTGATCTCTCGACCTCGTGATCCACCCGCCTCGGCCTCCCAAAGTGCTGGGATTACAGGCTTGAGCCACCGCGCCTGGCCTTTTTTTCTTTTTTGAGACGAAGTCTTGCCCTGTTGCCCAGGCTGGAGTGCAATGGCACAATCTCTGCTCACCGCAACCTCCGCCTCCCAGGTTCAAATGATTTTCTTGCCTCAGCCTCCCGAGTAGCTGGGATTACAGGCGCCCGCCAACATGCCCAGCTAAGTTTTGTATTTTTAGTAGAGATGGAGTTTCACCACGTTGGCCAGGCTGGTCTCGAACTCCTGACCTCCTGATCTGCCCGCATCAGCCTCCCAAACTGCTGGGATTACAGGCGTGAGCCACCACGCCCAGCCCAGAATCTGGATTTCTGTACAAGTGTGGCATGGAGCTGCAGATGCTATCTCAGACCTAATACCCAATGGAACATCAGAGAATATGCCTCTAATGGCAGGGCACATTGTGTAAAAATGGAGGTGCATGGGGCCAGGCGCAGTGGCTTATGCCTGTAATCCCAGTACTCAGGAAGGCTGAGGCGGGTGGATTACTTGAGGTCAGGAGTTCAAGACCAGCCTGGCCAACATGGTGAAACCCTGTCTCGACTAAAAATACAAAAATTAGCCAGGCATGGTGGGTCATGCCTGTAATCCCAGTACTTTGGGAGGCTGAGGCAGGCGGATGACAAGGTCAGGAATTTGAGACCAGCCTGACCAACAAGGTAAAACCCCGTCTCTACTTCAAATACAAAAAAATTAGCTGGGCATGGTGGCACATGCCTATAATCCCAGCTACTCAGGAATCTGAGGCAGGAGAATCGCTTGAACCCGGGAGGCAGAGGTTGCAGTGAGCTGAGATCGTGCCACTGCACTCCAGCCTGGGTGACAGAGTGAGACTCCATCTCAAACAAACAAAAAAACATAAAAACACAAAAATTAGCCAGGAGTGGTGGCACGTACCTGTAACCCCTGCTATTTGGGAGGCTGAGGCAGGAAAATTGCTTGAACTGGGAGGCGGACGCTGCAGTGAGCCAAGATCACGCCACTGCACTCCAGCCTGTGCGACAGAGTGATGAGACTGTCTCACGAAAAAATAAAAATGGAGACACAGGGTCTCATGAGGAATGGGTGGTCCTCACCTGTCATGTATCCTCATAGTCAATGCAGGTTCATGGCCTTCATCTGTAGGCAGAGCCCCGATTTCAACATTCTCACTCAGAAGCAGGAGTAAGAGGGACAGAGGACCTATAGATCTTGACACTTGGGCTGAACCTTGAGACACCTTGGCTTAAAGAACTGTATGTTTTGGCCGGGCGCAGTGGCTCACACTGTGTAATCCCAGCACTGTGGGAGGCTAAGGCGGGTGGATCATTTGAGGTCAGGAGTTCAAGACCAGCCTGGTCAATGTGGTGAAACTCCGTCTCTACTAGAAATACAAAAATTAGCCAGGCAGTAGTGGCACGCGCCTGTAATCCTAGCTACGAGGGAGGCTAAAGCAGAGAATCGCTTGAGCCTGGGAAGCTGAGGTTGCCGTAAGCCAAGATCCCACCACCGCACTCCAGCCTGGGCAACAGAGTAAGACGCTGTCTCCAAAAAAAAAAATTGTATGTTTTTAAACTATGATTTAAGGAGACATGTATGGGTGCTGTTATGGATTAAAATGTCTGTGTCTTCCCCTATATGTGGAGATGGTGCCTTTATGGAAGTAATTAAGGTTAACTGAAGCCGAAAGAAGTGGCTGTAATCCAATGGGACCGGTGACCTTTTTTTTTGAGACAGAATCGTGTTCCATCAGCCAGGCTGGAGTGCAGTGGCACGATCACGGCTCACTGCAGCCTCAAACTCCCAGGCCCAGGTGATCGCCCCACCTCAGCCTCTTGAGTAGCTAGGACTAGAGGTATGTCCTACCATGCCTGGCCAATTTGTTGTAATTTTTAGAGCGAGGGTTTCACCATGTTACCCATGCTGGCCTCAAACTCTGGATTCAAGCAATCCACCCACCTCATCCTCCCAAAGTGCTGGGATCACAGGCATAAGCCACTGTGCCCAGCCTTCCTTATAAAGCGAAGAGATACCAGGGATCTCTCTCTCTCCTTCCGTGTCCCATGTGAACGCACAGTGAAATACTGGCCCTATTTAAGGCAGGAAAGCAGGCTACACCAGAAACAGAACCCTGCCAGAATCTGGATCTTGGTCTTTCTAGCCTCCAGAATGGTGAGAGGTAAACATCTGTCATTTAAGCCACACAGCCGGCGGTATTTTGTTACGGCAGTCCTGACAAACTGGGCCAGGGGCCAGGTTGATGAGGGGTGGGCGCGGATGGTCACGTTTACGTGTCGCCTTGGCTAGGCAAGATCCACAGTTATTCAGACACTAATCTAGATGTTGCCATGAAGGTTTTTCTTTTCACTCCGTCAACCCAGCTTCTCCCAACTCTGGGAAGAACTAGGAAGGGAAGGCCCCATGGAGGTACTTTCTAGATGTGATTAAAATCCATAATCAGTTGACTGTAAGTGGGAGAGATTCTCCTTCTTGTTCGAGGTGGACCTGATTCAATCAGCTGAATGTTTTAAAAAGTAGATCAGAGACTTCTTGGATGAAGAAATTCCACCTGTGGACATCAGCTTCGGCTTGTGCCTGAGAGTTCTCACTCTCTGTTCCTGATAGAATGGATTTTTCTTTTTTTTTTGAACCAGGGCCTCGCTCTGTCACGCAGGCTGGTGTGCTGTGGTGCAATCAGGGCCCACTGCAGCCTCAGCCTCCCAGGCTCAAGTGATCCTCCCACCTCAGCCTCCTAAGAAGCTGGGACCACAGGTGTGTGTCACCATGCATGGCTAATTATTTTTTGTACAGGCAGAGTCTTGTTATGTTGCCCAGGCTGGTCTTGAACTCCTGGTCTCTGGGGATCCACCCACCTTGGCCTCCCAAAGTGCTGGGATTACGGGCCTGTCCCACTGCACCTGGCTGGATTTGACTTGACTAACCAGCCCACACAATCCTGTAAGCTGATTCCTTGCATACAAATACCTTTTTTTTTTTTTTTTTTGAGACAGAGTTTTGCTCTTGTTACCCAGGCTGGAGTGCAACGGCTGGATCTCGGCTCACTGCAACCGCCGCCTCCTGGGTTCAAGCAATTCTCCTGCCTCAGCCTCCCGAGTAGCTGGGACTACAGGCATGCGCCACCATGCCCGGCTAATTTTTGTATTTTTAGTAGAGACGGGGTTTCACCATGTTGCCAGGATGGTCTCAATCTCTTGACCTCGTGATCCACCTGCCTCTGCCTCCCAAAGTGCTGGGATTATAGGCGTGAGCCACCGCGCCCAGCCACATACAAATATCTTAATATATGTCTCCTACAGGATCTGTTTCTCTGCTTGATCCCTGACTGACACAGGCCCCACCCTCTTCCCCAGCCACCCTTCTACTCACCAAGACTCAGTTCTTAGGTCCCTATTTGTCCCTCCCAGTGCCACCTCCTTAGGCTCCACCCCCAGATCCGAGCCCCGGCCCAGCCCCAGTCCTCCTTCCCCAAGCTCTGCTTCTGGGCCCTTAATTTTTCCCATTATTACTTCCTAGGCTGTGCCCCAGCTCTGAGCCCCGCCCCTCCTCCCCAAGGGGTCCGCAGGCCCGGACCACTAGGCTCCGCCCCCGGAGCTGAACCCCACCCCCGGCCCCGCCCCTAATCCCTTCGCTCTCACCATCGCACTTGAGGCCCTGGCGCACTAGGCCGAAGAGCATCTCCCCGCAGTGATCACAGAAGGCAGGCGCCCGGTAGGAGTGCACCGTGAGGGCGTGCGGGCGGATCTGGAAGTCCTCGAAGGTGGCCGAGGCTGTAGACGGCAAATAGGGACGGATCCTTGAGCCGGGGTAGGCCAAAGCTTTTCCAGACCCCACGTTGCCAGATTTCTTATAGTCCTCCCAGATGCAAGGTTTGGTCTTTCCTTCCTTTATTATTTTGCTCTCATACTACATTCTGCCTGGGTTCAAATCCCACCTCCACCCCTGGACAAAACACCTATATCCCTATGCCCACAGCAGGGGGCAGAGAGGGAACTGGGGAGCTGTTTAATGGGCAGGGAGCTTCGGTTTTGCAAGATGACAACAGATCTGGAGATGGGCTGCACCGAGTGTGCATGGACTTAACATTACTGAACTGTAATTTTATTTTATTTTATTTATTTATTTATTTTTGAGATGGAGTTGCACTCTTGTGACCCAGGCTGGAGTGCAATGGCGCGATCTCGGCTCACGGCAACCTCCGCCTCCTGGGTTCAGGCAATTCTCCTGCCTCAGCCTCCTGAGTAGCTGGGATTACAGGCACGCGCCACCATGCCCAGCTACTGTTTTTGTATTTTTAGTAGAGACGGGGTTTCACCATGTTGACCAGGATGGTCTCGATCTCTTGACCTCGTGATCCACCCGCCTCGGCCTCCCAAAGTGCTGGGATTACAGGCTTGAGCCACCGCGCCCGGCAATATTTTTATTTTTTGAGATGGAGTCTTGCTCTGTCACCCAGGCTGGAGTGCAGTAGCGCCATCTTGGCTCACTGCAACCTCTGCCTCCCAGGTTCAAGCAGTTCTCCTGCCTCAGCCTCCCATCTAGCTGGGACTACAGACATATGCCACCTTGCCTGGCTAATTTTTTTTTTTTTTTTTTTTTTTTTTTTTGGTAGAGACGGGGTCTCCTGATGTTGCCCAGGCTGGTCTTAAACTCCTGGGCTCCAGTGATCCTCCCACCTCGGCCTCCCGAACTGCTGGGATTACAGGTGTGAGCCGTTGCAACTGGCCCATTTTTTACTATTATATTAAAGTTTAACACAGTCAGTTACGGAGCGAGCTCCTTGTTCTCCTCTTTTCTCTCTTCTCACTACTGCACTTGACTAGTCTTAAAAATAAATAAATAAGCATAACATATGTCCAGAAAAGAACACACAAGTGCCCAGCTCAATGAATTTTCAAACTGTCCAAACCATGTCACTAACATCCTGACCCATATATGGAAGTTTAGACCAGTCCCTAAAAAGCCCTTTTATGACCCCACTCAGTAACCAACTTCCCGGAAGCCCTCACTCTCTCTTTTTTTTTTTTAAAGAGAGGAAGAGAGAGAGATGGAGTCTCACTATGTTGCCCAGGCTGATCTGGAACTCCTGGGCTCAAGCAATCCTCCCAGCTCCAGCTCGGCCTCCCGAAGTGCTGGACTCACAGGCGTGAGCCACCGCACCCGGCCTCTCCTGACTCCAGAGAGACACTGTATCTGTCTTTTTCGTGCTTCACAGGAAATGTTACGGTCTGTAGTCTGGCATCTCGTTTCTCTCGCAGGATTATGTTTGTGAGACGCATGTAGGTTGCTGTGGCTCCTTCACGCTCAGTGCTCCGTGAAGGCCGCAGAGCAGCCTTCAATGCACCACAACGCATTTACCCATTCAGGAGTGGTAGGTGGGAAAGCTCCCCCAGATGAGTCTAATTTGCAGAACTACTGGCTTCGAACTTCTAGGACGTTTTGAACTAGAACTTCGAACTTCTAGGATGTTTCTCATCCCAACATCCGGCTACCCTCTCCTCCTCCAGATATCCCGGCCCCGCCCCCAGGTTGGCGACCGACTCTCACCCGACAGCACCACCTCCACCAGGTCGCCCTCCTGGATGTCTCCGGCCGAGCGCACCAGCTGCAGAAGGTTGGCCGACGTGGGGTCATGTTTGAAAAGCAGGATCTTGTCGTAAAGGCCGTAGAAGCCACACTCAGGGAACTGAGGGGTGGGAGAGGGATGTGGCGAAGTTAAGGCTCAGGGCCGCCGGGCGGACTGTGACCCACCCAGGGCAGGGCCGGCTGTTTCCCCCGGAAACTCAGAGACCCCGCAGGCCCTCGCTTCCTGCCTGCCCCCTCCCAACCCCAGCGTGAGCCGGGCAGGTTGCCAGCACCCCAAGTGTGAGGAGAGGAGGGCGCCGGCGTGCGTTTGGTGGCTGGAAGCGGGAGCTGGGGTGGGAGGGAGTGTGGCTCCGGGAGCGTGGACACCTCGAATTTTCCCGAACCTGGTGGGGGCCGGGGGCAGGGGCGGGGGTGGTGAGGCTGAATGAACACCTCCTCGCCTGCGCCCCCCACCCAGGCTCACACACCCGCCCCCCAGCTTCCTTCCTGGATCTGTCTATTGTTGTCCCAGTTACCTGGCTCGAGGCCCAGCAGTGAGGCGGGGCGAGCTGGAAGGAGGACTTTCCGAGCCTCCTTGGAAAGTGGTGGTGGGGGGCGGGGGTCTAGGACTGGAAGGGGTTGGAGATGAGGAGGGTGCCTCCCACCCAATGCTCGAAGGACCCAGGTGTCTGGGTCCCTCAGCTTGGGGGACCAGGGGGCAGGAAATGAAACCTGATAGAACAGAAAGTGAAACTGCCCGGGTGGGGCCTCGGGAAGGAAGGTATGGGGCTCTAACACACCTGGATCTGGCAGAAAAATAAAAGTAGGGTGAAGCCTGAGCGGGGCAGGCTGGGGACGTGAGCACTGGACAGAGTTCACCCAAGGGACAATCTACCCCCGTACCCCCACCGCCACCAGCTTCCCATGAAGTGGGCTGAGTTGGGGTGGGGAGCTGGGCCAGCTAGATTTGGGTGTTTGGTGGGTAAAGCCCTATCTGTTCTCACTGCTAAGAGCCAGCCCACAGAGAATCAGGACTGCCTGGGCTCTGACCCCTGGGAAGTGTTTGTCTAAGCTTCAGTTTCCTGTTCTGGAGAATGGGGGAGCTGGCCCTAGTTCCTCACGTTTCTCTGAAGCCCAAAGGATTCATTTCCAGGAGTCTGCAAAGATTCCGGAATTTGGATATTTTGGGATTCCAACATGCTCGCATTACAGAATTCTACATTCTAGATTCCAACCTGGTATCACTATACATTTTAGGATTTCAATAACCTACGTTAGCGGTAATCTAATATTTTAATGCTCTAGGCTTCTGACAAGCTAGGACTCTGGTATTTTAGTATTTGAATTCTTTAGCATTCAAGGACTTCATCCATCCAGCATTCCAAAATTCTAACATTTTAACTCTCTAGGATTCAACACTCTAGGAATCTAACATTCCAACGTTTTAATGTTTTACTGTTTCACAAACCTCAGATTCTAATATCTGAACACTAACATAATGGCCCAGAATGCCTAGTCCAACAGTTTGTGATTCTAATATTCTCACATTTGTACAGTCCGCTACTCCAACACAGAAGCCCTATTTGAACTCTTAACATTTTAGGATTCAGATGTGGAGTTCCACCTGGTCCCCTCATAACACCCAGCTGCCCACCCTGGGGACTGTGGTGTCCAAAATTAAGAGCAGGGTAACAGCACTGTGAGTAGGAAAGGGAATAGAGTCCCCAGAGCCTCTAGGGGTGCCGAAGGGGTGGCTGCCCCTCCGCACGCATCTCAGGCTTAGGGAAGGGCAGAACTGGGCTCTGAGACCTCACTTGCCCCTGGCAGCTAACTCGAGCACCTGCACCCACACATGTCACCGGATCGCCACGGCCAGCCCGGGTTCAGTTTCTCCTGTTTCCACCAAATGGGAGGCCCGGAATGGGCCTGGATGTGGAGGTCCCCCGAAATCTGCTGCTCCTTCCTCCCCTTTCTACACCTGGCTGGCCTCTCCCTTCCTCCCTGTTTGCTGCAGAAAACAACATGCAGGGACATGAAATTTGGAGAGGCCTCTGGGGCACCCCACCCCTGCGCAGTCCTCTCTCAAAGGGACGTGCGGTGAGGGGCAATGGCCGGGGAGCAATGCCCCCTATCACTCCATCGCACCCAATGCTCAGGCCCCCTCCCTTCCTCTTCCACACCCCAGGCGGCAGACCCCTCTGCCAGCACTCCCTCCTTCAACCTCTCCCCAAACTGGATCGGTGAGCCGGTGCCCTCACCTTCTGGTCCACGATGGAACAGGCCAGCTGCTTCACATGAGCCAGCTCAGAGGCGGCGGGCAACAGCACGAACTCGCGGGTCAGTCCGATCTGGATGTGAAAGGAGACCCCGGAGCCCGGGGCCGGGATCTGGGGCAGTAGCGGTGGCGGCGACTGCAGCTCTAGGCCGCCGGGGGGCGGAGGAGACCCCGGCCCGGGAGAGCCAGGGAGCCCCGCGGGATAAGAGGGGGCGGCGGCCATGCGGGGAGGCCCGGGACCGGCCGCCCGGAGCCCACCCGGGACCCGGCTGGGGGGCCCCGGGGGACCACGGGTCCTAGATCCGCGGGATCTCGTGAGCAAGTGGTGGGAGCGCGGGGACCCTAGAAGAGATCTGGCAGGCGGCGGGGACCTGAGGATGGCGGGATCCTGGGAAAGAGAGGAAGGCACTGTCGTGGGTCAGAGGCCCGGAATCCAGGGCTCCCAGAAGATCAAAAAGGAGAAAAGTAGTGGTTTGGGGGTCCCAGCGATTAAGAGATTCCAAGAAGCCCGAGGGGAAATCTAGTAGGTCGGGGTCGCAGGGATCGGGGGAGCCCGCGGTTCAAAGGCCCCTTCCCTAGAGGAGGGATTCAGAAGGGGGCAGAGGGAATCCCAGGATCCAGTGCTCCGAGAACAGGATCCCACTCGGAAGGCGGCCCGGGGGATTCACCTTGGGGGTGGAGGACAGGAGCCTCTGAGTCGGGGACCGAGTGGATCCCAGAGATAAAGGGGTTCGCAGGAACCCCGACCGGGGATGGGCAGAGGGGTCCCGAGGGCCGGGGTAGGTAGCAGGGAATCTCACGGGTCGCGGAAGTTGGAGAAAAGTTCGGTCGGGAGCCGTGAGGAAGGGGGCGTTGCCGGCGGCGGGGTGGGGTGGGGGGCAGGGAGGGTCGCCGGGCGCGGGTAGCTCTTTTTCCCCCTCCAAAGTTTGAGTCGGCGGCGGCGGCCCAGGAGGAAGTGTCCGGAGCGACAGCGCAGTCGACCAATCGACGCGGGCCTCGGTGACGTCAGAGAGGGCGGAGCCTGCAGAGTGGCCGGGGGCGGAAGGGGAGGGCGGGCCCGAAGCCTCGGAGTCGGGGGCCAGGGATGGTGTGCGAGATGGAGGGCGGGCAGGCGGGACCGACTCCTTCCCTGAACACAGCTAAGTCTGGAAAGTTAACTTTTCCCTGGGCCGGACGGGGAGGGGAGACACCCTCACCCACCGCCGGTCGCGGGCGTCGGGCTTGGAGGCCACTAGCCCTTTAAGGAGGGGCGCCCTCTCGGGCTGGCGGGTGTCCGGCGCCCACCGGAGGGGACGGAGTGGGAAACTGGTGTCAGGTCTCGGCCAGCTCCCTGCGCTCGGCCCCTCTAGTCTCCGAGCTTCGCCCTGCCCTCCCCGCCGCGTCCCAGCCCAGGGGAGGGGGTACTGCAGAGCGTTCCCCCGCCTCCCCAGCCTATTTCTCAGATGGGGAAGACTGAGGCCTTCAGATGGCCAGGAAGGCCTCGCTTCAGATCTGTCTGCAGCGTTGCTGGGCAAGGTGCATGGCGCTAACTGGAGGATGGGTGGGAAGGGTCCATCCCCACGCCCACCCCAACCCCGCCTTAGGACGGTGTGGGGCTGCCCGAAAGGGAAGACAGCACACCCACACCACTTCGGAGATGGAGAGTCTCCTGGGGATGTGCAGTACGTGTGCGTGTCTTTCTCTCTCTTACTTTAGGTGAGCGTCTTCTCCTCTGTGAGCCTCAGCCCCTCCTGTTAGAAGGGACTGTAATAGGACTGACCCCACATAGGATGGGGACCGATGCAGTGGTGCACAGGTGCCTGGAACACAGCAGCTCACAAAGTAGTGGCTGTCTCTACTAATATGCGGAAAGGGGTGGGCGCCTCCAGCACTCAGGCTCTGATGGGTGGGCACGTCCATTTAGCCATCCAGCAAGTATCTGTGAGGACCTACTGGGTCCTGGGTGGCGCCGACATAAAACGGCTGCTACAGGGCTCAGTCTTGATCTCTCCTCCACAGCTAATAATCGAATAGTGGCTGCCGTGTAGTGTACACAGAGTAAGCTGAAGCCTCAGAGAAGCAAAGCGACTTGTGGAGATCCCAGAGCGAAGTTGCTTCAGGGAAGCTGCCCCACCCATCCCTTTGATTGACAAGTCAAGGCCTAGGTTTGAGCACCAACAGGGCCACCTGTCTGGCTGGGACGCCGTATGACTGGAAATGGCGCGGCTGGCTGGGGATGGGGGCTGCCAGAAGAGCCCCTCTTCCTGGCGTAGGGCCGTTGGGGGTTGCTGAGGTCGGTACAGAATCGATTCTGTCACCACATCCGGGGGCTGGGGCTGGGGAAGGAAGTCTGAGGCTGGAGCGAAAACCCAAACCACCACCTGGGGAGCTGCATCAGCCCAGAGGAATGAGCAGGGAGCACGCCACGTGGAGCCCACGCAGGCTCCTGTGGGCGTCACCTAAGGGCCTCCTGCCCTCCTGCCCCCTTTTTCCTGAGGGGAAGACGACTGCCCCAGCAAAACACTGCCATGTCTCCCGTGTGCAGGCAGAAGCCTCTATCCTTCCTTTTATGCTCACTGGGGCCTGCTGGGGGGCTGGGGGCACAGCCCTTTAGATCCCAGGAAGTGGGCATTGGTGGCATGTGGCAGAGGAGCTGGGATTGCCTGGCTGGCAGGTGGTGGAAGCCTCCTTCTGGAGATGGGAGCGCGTCCCCTCCATCTCATCTGGAGCCATGTGGAGAGCTGGTCCCTCTTGTCAAGGCTGTGGACCCAGTGAAATGCCACGTAAAGCGCCCTGGACAGTAGACACGGGTCTCTGAGAAGGGGAAGGACGGACTCCTCAGGACAGGCGCCTCCTCCCGGCACAGAGGAGCCTGCAATCTGCGCCCCCAAACCCATCATCCACCGCTGGAAGGTGCGGCCTTTCCCTCCCTGCTCCTTGTGGGCCTGGGAGGGGAACGGGAGGGGGATTTATGTCCTCTGGGCACCGGCCCTTTGGCCTCACCCCCACCCATCACGCATCCCAGGCAGGCCTAGGTGTCAGCTGAACTGTCATCACAGCATCTGCTCCCCAGGGCTCCGTCCCTGGGGAGGGAGCACTTAAGGACAGAAAGGGCACGAGGAGATTCGGTCCAGTGCCCCTTCTGCTCTCCACCCACACCCCACCCAAGCTCTGGGCCCCTCTCGGGCCCCTGCTGCCCTACCACAAAACCCAGCCCATCCTATCCCCTCTCCAAACTCCACCCAACCCAGCCAGAACCGGTCACTCCTCCCCCAAAGTTCTCAGTCCCCTCAACAGATGGCACTGTCACCCATCTTACTCCAAAGGGTTTATTGAGACAAGTTTTCACATACAAGATGGGGGCAGAGAGGCTGGGGCTTAGAAACCGGAGCCTGGAAGGGGACGGAGGGTGCAGGAAACAAGAAAGTGAAATAAATAGAGGAAAGAGTGGAGGCAGGGACGGACTGACCGAGACCATCACACAGTGACAACGCAGGGGCGGCAGCATGAAAATCCTGTTATTTATACAGATATACAGGGAGTTCAGGTGGACCCAGGAGCCCGCTCCACCCTCCACGGCCCAGGGAGGGGCACAAGGCCATCTCTGCCCATGGGCGACCCCGTGGAGTACTGGGAGGGCTGCCCTAGGAGTCTTGGGCAATCCCTGGGCCTTGGTTAGTGTCTGGAAAGCAGTGGAGAGGGCCGGCCAGCCCGAGGCTCCCAGCTGCCACCCATTCCCCCAGCACAGCTCCTGCCCAGCTCTGGGAGGATGGGACTGGGGGAGCGGGAGCTCAAGGGGAGAACCTGGCACCTTCTGGCATCTTGGAGAAACTGATCCCTAAAGACACCTGGCCCTGGCTGTGCTGCCCTCCCGAAGGCAGCTCTGCTACCAGGAACAGCTGTCAGGGCACAGGGGGAAACCCTGAGGCCATCCTCGGGGGTGATTCCTGAAAGGGGCCCATCCCCAGGCTGGAGCTTGGGGAAGGCAGCCGTGGGGGAGGGATTCCTGGGGAAAGGGCCGTTAGCACCACCAGGCTCCACGGCAGACAGGCAGAGGCCAGGCCTCTGCACCTCCAGTGAGGCTGGGAGACCCTGCAGGAGAGAGGAGAGGGGAGGCTGAGCCGCTGCCTCTAGGGTGCCTCTTGGGCCTCAGTCCCTCCCCTGCATGCCCAGGGCTCCCCCAGTGATTCACAGGGTGCCCCTGACTGCACTTTCAGAATCAGCACCTGGGGAATATCAGCCCAGGGGCGTGTGAGGGCTCAGGATGAGGGGTTTCTCTCCTCACCTCAGCCCCACCTGCCCGGCCCCGCTCCCCAGCCAGCGTGGCGGCCAGGGCAGGGCCAGGTGGGCATCATACGAAGACCTTGGCCAGGGCGTCGGCGCCAGCACTGGCGATGAGGGCCTTGCTGGGGTGGCAGGCGACGGCGTGGATGGCCTCCTCGTGCTTCTTGCGGTGGGCCGTGATCTCCTGCACGCACGTTTTGTTGTCCAGGCTCCAGAGACGCAGGGAGCAGTCATGGCCTGCGCAGGTGTGGGGGGGCCAGCAGGGGTGGTCACC